AAAAGACAAACTAATATCACACTATTATTGATAGTTTGACATTGAAGAATTAACCTGATGTGCAACATACTGAACATCAGCTACACTTCCGCTCCTTGATGCTATTTGGAAAGCACTTTTTAGGCGACCACAGACAACACAGGCCAGCACTTTCCTGCAAATCCAACCTAGATAATAAGACTTCATAACGTAGAACTAATCATGGTTAAAAAAGTCGACACCCCTAGTTTTTGTAGTTGTTGCTTGTTGGACAGCATTATTGAACGTAAAATAATATCAGCAGTAAAAGTTCTCTTCGTGGTATTGATTATTTAGTGCTGCTTTTTCACAGCAATGTTGTGCAATGCAATCTCATGCAGATTTAAGGAGGGAAGGCCAGATCCAATCCCAATTTCATGCTAAATTGGCACAATGATCAAATCTTCCCCAAATTGTTTTGAACACACAGAGTTCTTGCGGTAGAGCAATTCTATAATACGCAAGGCTAGAATAGGCATATGTTTTACTTTTGCTAGAAACCTTATAAATTTGCAACAAATTGGTGGGATTTGCAGATTTTGCATATTTGGAATTTCATTTTTCAATTTACGTTTAAATAACAAGGTCCACCTGTGACTGCTTGTCAACATGTCAATGAGGCGATCAGGACGTTCCTTGTGCTTGTTGGCATAGACATTGATTGCTGCACCCAAGACCTGCAAAACAGAAGATTGCATATTGGAAAATATATAAATTCGACCTACCCAATCAATTGTTAAAAGTAAATCCAGAATAATGTAACCAGTAATCACCATATCCAATATCATCCACATTTGTATAAATGGACATAATAATGGCTCTGTAGTTTGCCCAAGCAACAGTTTCCCATCAAATACCAAAGAAGGGAGTAAAAACAACTTTTAGAGTAACCGCACTTGTACCTGATCCCAATCATCATCATCTATGGTGCCCTTGATGTTTCTAAAAAAATCCGTTAATTGGCCGCCTTTTTTCCTCTCAGCAAGCGATGCAGCAACACCAGCATATATGTCGACAGCTGGAGTGACACCACAGCAGAAAGCCATGTTAAAACTTCACTAACGTGATATTGAACCTTAGGTGCCGAGGAATGTCATCAAAATTACCTGGAAGATTGAATTCATATATTATTTGGAAAGCCAAGTCAAAATTCTTCTCCACTAGAGTTTCAGCTATTTCACATCTTCTCCTGCAGTGCATTAGTGACGTTGTTAAGACTTGATACTGGACTAAGGACTTCCAGAGTACAATGGTCCAAGACTTCAGTTTGCAACAAAATACGGATAAAAATGTTAGCAAGAATAATATGAAAATAGCATAGAACCTGAATGTCTCGGGGTCATTTGGATTTCCAAAAATAGAGTGCTTCCAGTGAGGTCCCTCTGCATCACTGAAGCTTCTCACGACATCCATCTATGAATTAACAGAAAACTTTCAGAATGCAGGCCAAGTTGAAGTGTAAAGATATAAGTGACTTAGCCATATAAACAAGCATAAATAACTGTTGAGATAACAAAGGAAACAAAGTACAATAGACTGATCAAAAGCACTTTGACCCTAATATCAAGAAATTTACTTAATGTTGGGAATTGTTTTGATGCTGAGGTCTGAAGAAATAAGAAGACAACAAAGGTTCACGATTGGCTTCAGTTCATAAGCAAGTGATAGAAGTCCTTCCTGCTATTGAGTAACATATCATTCATAAGTGTACCTGAATGGCAACACGAGCAGAAAATTTAACCAATCCTTCCTCAGTAAGCTTCTCAGAGGCAGTTTTTCCCCGAATTCCTTTGGTGACAAGTTTTGTAGACTCTCCTAACTTATATCGTGCTGACAACCCTTCATCAAAGTGCATCTGCACCAAAACACGGATCAAGATGTACAGAAGAATTAAAATGAGAATCGTAATTGAGTTGCCAACCAGCAAATCACGGCCAAAGCAGCCATGACATACCTGAGCATTCTTCCTCAACCAAATAATGTTTACAACAACATACCCAGTATATTCCCAACAGGTTGGGGTCTGGGGGGTCAATTGTACGCAGACCTTACCCTTGTAATTATACAAGGAGGCTGTTTCCGTAGCGACCCAAGGTGCATTGCGCCGTTTGATATATATTTTTTTTTTTCTAGAAACTTCACTAACAGAAGAAGCACTAGAATTTTATTGAGCCATTTTGATCTAGTCCATTATTAGCACTATGCCAGGAGAATTGTCGACAATGACTCTTCCAGCTCCATTTGCAATGGACAACTCAACCAAATAAAGTTTAAATACACAAAATCGTGTACATCAGACCATGTATACTGATCAAAGTTCATGCTTAAGGCTTTACCATGCTTAAGTCAAAGCAAGCATATCTACCTTATTTGTGATCCTCAATACAGCTACTTGACAAAGAAGCACAGTTTGAATATGTGGTGACAACATGACATGAAAATAGTATGATTACCTTAGCGTGTTCCAAGTGCTTTATAGCTTCCTCTTGAGAAGCAGAGTTCATAAACAGCTGAATACAGCAAAGGCCAGCGGCGACATGATCATTCTTGAGCACCTAAGTCATAAGCCATCAATTCATTTAGAATCACTTATTTAGCACCAACCTGTTAGCTGATCTGAAAACTAAACAAGAGTGTGTTTGTGTTTGTGTGTGTGTGTGTGTGTGAGAGAGAGAGAGAGAGATTAAATAACATGGAGACATGTGAAACAAGTTTGAATGGGGGAAGTGATGAATAATGAAGTGCATATACCTGGAATTTGTACAAATAGTTGAAGTGCTTATGAGTTTCACAATAGGCACAAATGCGAGCAACGGCTGCAGTAGTATGCTGGTTCACTAACTGATCCTGTGTCACTGCAATCCTCGATGATATAACTTCTTCCAGGACAGACATCGCTCCATAACCCACACACAGATCACATAAATCATCAACCGTCCCATAATCAGTTGCCAAAGGATCAGGCCTTTGAGGAGAAGAAGACGATGTAACGGCTCCCAAAGAAGGCTGAGGTGGTTGAGGAACAGAATTGGCAGGAAAGAATAAGAAGCAAGCCTCCTTATATCGGCCATGCTTAAACATAAAGCTCAGCAAATGCTGACGAGCATACTGCAACATAAAATGTGTTACCAAGGCCAGATAAATGGTGCCAGTTATAATGTTGACTGAAAAACTATTTTCACAAAGCAGTTGGCATGCACAGCACAGCAGACACCAAATAAAATGTATAAATACTTGAAAAGTATGTGATATTTTAAAAGACAGGGTACACAGCCAACGGATAATCTAGAGCAGACCAAATGATATACATAAATGAAAGCATGAGAGAGAGATGAAACAAGCATGAATAACATAAAAATTTTGGTTAATTGAGTTCTGTAATGTAATGTAGGAAGCACACCTTAACATACCACTGCATTCCCCATAAGTATACACAAAGTAACTTAAACATTTTCTACAATGTCAAGTAAAGGTTTCCCTAATATAAACATGGAGTTGTAGACAGCAACACAAACCAGTGTTCTTCTGTAGCTTCTGTGACTGGTAGGGATAAAGCTAACGACCACCGCCACCACCCCAAACCCCCCAAAAACCTCCAGAAGAAACTACTTATCATTAATTCATCAGGCATGACTCAGGAGCAGAATATGATACATATCTGTATTTAAGTTTTCATATTTTAGTTAAGTTGATTAATAAGGGCTAGAATAAGGTAATGGGCCGGGCTTTTGCTTTGGAACCCTAATTTGTTTTTTAAGTACTAGGATTTAGGTCTCTTATGCCATCGAGAAAAGAATAGAGGAGCCTTTGGCTTACGTTGGAGAAATCCTGATCGGCACTCACGCTTGGGGCAGGCCCGCTCGCAATTGTTTTGAGTTATTCCCGTTCCTTTCGTTTTCAATTAATTATCAATTTTAGTTTTGCATTTCTTCTTGCAATCCGCCCTTCACTCTATCAGAATATTACGTCACAATTAACTTGAGTACTTACTTCTTGTAAGTAATTTACACATTCAAGGTATCTGACATTGTCAAGGTTGCTGCGTGGTCCATCTTCAAGGCTGTGAGAAGAATTGTCCTTTGCTGCTTCTTGAAACCTCCTAGATCTCTCTGACCGTGGAAAGGTAGAAGGCATGTAAAGAACATTGAGATAGGAATCAGCAGAAAGAGGATCATCTAAGACCGCTGGTGCACTTTTGGCTAAATGTTCATACCTGCATCATATGTTGAATGGACGAAATTAATGGCTTATTATCGAGTTCCAAAATGGCAAAATAATTTTGAGTTATTACAGCATTCTATGTGAGATGCCTTTAATCAGAGTTTTGTGTGTAAAACTGAAGAATTTCTAGTTATCTAAAATCCTAGAACAACCTGCGGAGATGTACTATGGATAGAAATTCTGAATAGAAAATTGTCTCAACAGATAAATCATTCCATTTTAAATTTTCAACCATATACTAAGATAATGTAACCAAATTACTAACAGCAATTTAATACTCGCAACTAAAAGCACTATAAAATTATTTGATTTGCTCGTGAAATAAAGCAAATCAGGGTTCAGTAATCACTTGGACAGGTGAAGGTTGATGAAGAAAAGACCAGCTACATTACGAACTGTAGGATGGAGTAACACTTATCAACTGCATTTGTAGTCTAGAAATTCTAATCTCCATTTTTAATTTAATGATCCCAGATCTTCTTCAGTCTTACCATGTTTCTAATTGGCCTGCCACTTTCTCGATCCTAACAAATCTAATATATCAACCTTTTCGCAATCCAACCTCGTCTGCCTCTAAAGTGAGTTCAGTTAAGATGAGTTGTATGGTAACTAAGGAAGAAATGCCGAGACTACCAGACTTCGCTGATAAAAAAATTGAACCTAATGATTAATACTGGTTCAACTATAAAAGAACAAGTCACAATTCTTGGCTCAAATGAATCTACAAATTTAATATCATCAACACATGTAAGACATCTTCCAATGTAGTCATACTCCAGCCATAAATATCTAATTCACGAATATACTTCCAGTTCCTTCTTAATGTATTTAACAGAAATAACAGAAAAAATTCAGATGTACAATGAAAGAATAAGGATCATAATTTTAAGACAGCAATCTTACATAGAACGAACAGATGCAACATCAACTGGCGGACCACCTTCAATAGTATTGATGATCTCTAGAATCACGGGAGCAGAATCACCCTTGTGTAATTGAAGAGCTTGCCTGCAAATTACAAAATAAGTTGGAGCAAATACAGAGTAAAACATATTCTGACTAACAAGAAAACAAAAGAACGAGAGGTCAAAAACTCATGCGCACACACCCAGCTGCGGACATAATCTTTTATTTTGAAAAATAAATAAAAATTACTTGAACTTCACGCGAGCTTGTGCATAATGTTCCATCCTTATCAAGGCATGCCCCCATGAATTCCAAACAGGGAAAACCTCAATCTGGAAGGCAAGAATAAAATGTGAGCTTCTGCATGATACTCATAAGTGATCACCAAAATGATCTATATTTGTACCTTACACTTCTTGCAAGTGTATACAGCCATACTATATCGTTCCTCCTGGATCAATCGATCCCTAAGGTGTTCAGATGATTCTTTATCAGCAATATCATCGAGGGAGGCTGCTATGCCTGATCCCAGAAGACTTTGCAGCAGTTCAGCACGTCCAAGCCACATATCAACCTGTGACAGTGCTTCAGACAATTCATCGGTTGATTGACTACCCATGCTAGAGCTACCAGCATCAGAAGATGCATCATCAGCTTCCCGGCCTTTTTCTGAATTACTGGACAAATCACTGACCCCAGAAAGTTTCCGGAGCTGGGATTTAGCAAAAAGCAGACCCTAGAAGATAAAGAACAAATGTCAGGATGCAGCAATTAAGAAATAGTTCAGCAAAGTTTCTAAACACAAAGACCTGCACAAATGTTTCTGTTGCATGATATGCTCGGCCAATGATCTCCATAGATGCATTTTCAGGTAGCTGCTGGGAGCTCAAAACATTTTTCATCTGATTAATGCACAAGTCCAAAGCACCTTTGCCGGATGCACTTTCATCTGAACATAATGAAAGCAAGGCCTTGGGAAAAAAGATACAACAAATTAGCCACATATAAAGCAAAATAGCTAGCACTGATTACATGTAAAAAGCTAGTAAGGATTTCGATTATATATGAACTAATAATACAATTCTAATTTCTAAACAAAGAGACAAATATCTCATGCAACAAAATCAAATTCGGTTGCAGAAAAATTAATACAAGTGTCACTGTAGGTCAATAACAAAGTATATCTCATAACTGGGGTGAGCTTCATAATGAGGTGCTAACACTAATTTCTAAACTTGGTTTTAGCACAAAGGGTGGGGGTTGGATATTATCTAGTACCTACTAAACTGCTACTTCTGTATTCTGATTATTATTCTGGATAACTAATTCGGCTAATCGGCATCTGACAACAGATGCCCCATTGCTGATTACACACCTCAACGAGTACCAGTGAGAGGTGGAAGAAAATCGTGGAAGAATACTCCCTGTAAGGTGGTTAAGTTAAACATTGCTGTCAGAACATCTCAGAATTATGCGATACAGGATATGCAATAGCTTAACATGGGTTCCTGTGCACGTCAGCCAAGCTTCACCACCAAGAATTTCTTCAGTCCAAAATTTAAAAGTAGCTGCATGAATTATATTAATTGTCCTAAAGTCTAAGTTCTAGGCGGCACCCGGACGTCCCGATTTTCGTCTAGGCAGTCCTTCTAGGCGCTCGGTCAATTAGGTGCCGCCTACACGCTCTAGGCAGTTGCAAAGTTAGTCACGCCTAGACTGATTAGACGGTCTAGGCGGCGACCTAGGCTGTCCAAGCACCGCCTAGGCGCCCATATAATTTTTTTTTTACTTTTTAAAATATAATACAGATATTTTATGATTTTTATGCTTGAAATGTACAATAATTATAAAATAAATAAAAAACAAAAATAATTATGTAAAATTAATATAATAATTACAAGTATAAAGTATTTTTGAAAATCTTTATTTAACCATACTAATTAGTATATTTTATAAAAAGCATATTTTAAGTTAAGCATGATTATAAATATAAATAAATTTATTATAGTTTTTACAACCCCGCCTAGGCGCTCTAGGCGCAAGGCCCCATCCCGCCGCCTAGCGCCTTTTAGAACCTTAATTATATTAACTCTTCTTGTTTCACAAAAAAGATATTTTTTCCACTTAATCATTGGAACAAAGAAGAGATTTTGACTTGAGTGAATAGGTGATTAACTTCATCAGAAATGCTGGAGACAGCAAGCAGTAATATATTGGCCAAGATACTTATACTCTGGACGGCCACACCACCTTAACATCACACATGATCAATTTCCACAAGAAACTCTAATATACAGAAAATAGTGAATAATTAATGGCCTATGTATTCTTAGCATGTAAAAAATCTTTTCGGCAGTAAAAGTATTTTCAATCCATTTGCATCATGCTAAAGTACCTTGAACAAAGTAATGTCAGGGGCACTTTCATATCGATGAGAAAAACGAACAGGTTCATCCTTCTTGAGATCACCTGTCAGCATCCATTCTGCTGCAATTGAAACAGAAGGAAGTCGTTCTTGTCCGTCTGTAGTAAACACTGAAACATGGTCTTCCTGAATTCCAGTCATGGCCTCCGAAGCAACTTTATCAGACTGCAATATTCCAGAACTCTTTCTCTTCCTATGACCGTCTTTCGGTGCACCCTTATCTCCGGAGTTACGAGGGGTCCAGGAAAATGCTCTACGAGCCTCTTTTTGCAAATGACTCAGGCTGCTACTAAACGATGACCGTGTTGGTGTGGTAGTTTTTGTTCTCTGCTTTGGTCGTGGTGCAGAAACTGAAATTCTAGAATCCCTGACAGGATGACTCATGCTGATAGCAATAGCTTTCGCAGCATATGACAAAATCATGCTGTTGTCTTTCAATGAAGGAAACTCTTTAAGAATCTGCAACCAATTAATATACCAAGTGGTCATGACTCAGTTGGCTATTAAAAAAAGCAGTTAATCGATGAAATAAATTGTACCAGAGATGCAGACTGCAGTTGCTTCCTCATCAGCAAAACTTCTACAATCAAATGAGGGTGCTCATGAAGGGACGAACATCTTTGCTGCCATGGCAATGGCAAGGCGGCTAATACACGAAGACCTAAAGCCCATGAATTTAGCCTGGATACCTCAACCTCAGACAGATTTCCATGCTTTCTCTTCAGGAAGAAGTGCACCTTATTGAAAGCAAACACAGGTTTACTAATAAAAAACGAGTGAAAACAAAATCATATTTTTCAGTTTTAAACTTGATATAGAAAGACCCTCAACGTACAAGAAGCTGCTTGGATCGAAGGTTGGGCAATAGCTGCATTGCACTAATAGCAACAGGCAAAGCATCGTCAGAATTACGGAGAGAAGAGAGAAATCGAGACGCTTCAGCAGGGCCCCCTCCATTTACAGGGTCTGCATTGAGAAGCTTGACAAGTTGACGGCCTTGAAGTTCTCTACGAAGTTCAATGGAAAGTTTCACACTTTCTGCCACTTCTAAAGCAGCAGAAACTGCTCCTTTTTCGGCCAATCTAAGTGCCAGACCCTCGGGATCTTCTTGACAATCTGTCTCAACCTGATTAAATATAGAAATGCATGGCATAGAAGCAGAATTAGATTTCAAACTATCCTTTTTCAGTTTTTCTTCACTCATTTGGTGCATATTATACCTCTTGCCAGCAACTGTAGCGATCATCTGCACATAAAATGTGTTTGTATCTACACAGGGCTTGTCTCCTTTGAACAACCTATTCACAAATATCACAAGTGTCAACCACATCTTGATTTCAAGACTGGAAAAACTCCTTAGATTAATATAGTCCTGTCTATTGAAGCAATTAACGGCTGTTTAGCTACCTCAATTTTAAGTGGATCGCCATCAGGCAAATGACAGCTACACATAGTGAGAACATCCAAAGCTGCTTCCAGCTCCCATCTATGCAAATATCTAAAAAGAGATAATACATATAGTATCAGTTGGGTGCAAAAGCAGGGCTAGAGATGTTGTTAAATTAGATAAAAATAAAGAACACTTGCAAGGAATAGAGAAAAGAGAATGCAAAGATTACTGAACAGATGGAAGAAAAGAATTCCACATTCAAAAATAAAAAAGATACATATATGTGCGTGTGTGTGTGTGTTTGTGTGTGTGGACTCTATGCAATTTATAACTAAAAGTATACGTAAATTCACAAGAAAAATGAACGACTATCGTACTTCAGAGCAAGTCTAGCTGCCAGCTGCTTATCCTTCAGGCGAAGACAATAGTGCCAACTATTGCTCAAGATACGAAGGCTTGAACTACTTAGAGGCTGTTCTGCAAATGTATCGTCCTCACCACTTTCAATGAGCATCTGAAGTAACCCATCTGAGGCCCCATTGCGCAAGAAGCGATCAGAAAGAGCAAGAGCATCCACCAATTTTCCTTCATCAATCAATCTGTGCCAGCGGAATCACCAAAACCAAGAAATCAAAGGAAAAAGAAAAGAAACGATAAAGAAATAGATGGAAGAACAATGGAACAAAAGAAAGATAAATGATTTGTCTAACTTGCAGAGTTGTTCAGCCTATATGAGAATTCATTAAAAGAAGCCTAATACTCAGAGAAGCTTAAGGTAAGGCTTCAGAATATAGGAAAAGAAAGACAAGGAAACAAAATATATAAGCAACTCATGATATTCTCATTACCAAGTGTGTGACACACACAGTTCCACCGTCATGGTCAAATTAGTATATGATATTTAACATGGGTATTCAACTACAACTTGCAAATTGTCTAAGACAGAGATCTAGCCAACAACTTTTCACTTCAAGAGACTAAATAAGCTTACTCACGTAACATTTAATGCTGGAAGAAAAAATGGATGAGTAGCTTAGCTGGATTCTATTATAGCAAATAAGTTGCCATCAAGGTCAAGGAACATCTAGTAGAGAAACTAACATCCTAAGCTCTACCAACAGATTAAAACCCCTCTCAATTTTAAATGCAACACCAGGATGCCTAGAATTTCTCACAACCCCACTGCACATACAGATAACGATCTTGTGCACAATGCCTGGCTATGCTGTTATCATATATTTTCCAGCTCCGTGAAAACAAAATAACATTCTACATATTATAAAAATTAACTCTTCCAGACTTCAAAGTGATTACACATAACTTATACCTCTCTACAGCTTTTTCGCAGGGTCCTTCATTCTCCCAATCAAAAGACAGGAAAACTCTATTATCATGTCCAGCAGTTTCAGACTTTGGAGATTCCAGCCAGGCATCAGAAGCCAAATTGCTTTTATCCTTAACCTCTGGCAGAGAAGATGGAATGTTATTGCCAGCCATATCATCACTTTCTGATTCAGTATCACTATCACTTTCACGAAACCGTTTCATAGCAGTTTTGGGTTCTAAATTGTCTTTAACATCATCCATGCTATGTTCAATCATGACAGCAAACTCAGAAACTCGATGAAGGTTAGTTTGCAATTGTATCCAGCGATTCAAGGTTGGAAACCTGCTCCAAGATTAAACGAACCGCATAAATTACTGTAAGATAATAATACACATAGTTAAAGAGATTTTTTATGGAAAGAGACCTCTCTGATTGATCAAGAGCAAATTCGTAGAAAACCCTATCAACATCAGGCGTCGGCAGCAAGCCATCATTCAATGAACCAGAGATAGCAGGATCACTGCCATGGTACAACATAGTACTCCCAAACACACATGCCAGGACAGCCCTGACAGCAGATAACTTGACAAGATGTTTCACTACGTCCAACTTAAGAGGGTATAAAGGGACACCAGGAGTGGCAGATGAACGAGTGTAAAACTTGGGTTTAGCTTCTCTGGAAGAAGGTGAGAGAACCTTGCTTTCAGTATAATTCTTAGGTAGAGTAGGAATCACAGGAATGCAAGCCCAACCATGACCAGATCTCGGAGGGTAAACAGGAGGTACACATGCAGTTATTACTTCGTGAACAAAGTCTGAATTCATTATTTCTGCAACCTTTCCAGCTGCATCAGTGCTCCCACGCTCAAACACTAAACGAGTTAAAAGCTGCAACAATGTCACAAAAATATTATGAACCAGGTCGCGAATAACTCATAAAAAAAATAATAACTTAACATGTAAAAAATAGTATTGGCAAACTAACAAGAGATCTCCATTCAAATTTTACACCCCATTCTGTTTACACCTGGCAACAAGCAACCTCAACTAGATACAGTAGCTCATTCATTGCGATTATGTTCAAGATGAAGAGACATACTGGTCATCTCCCCTATCATCATACCCTCCCTTGATGAAAAACATTAAAATTTTAAAATACATTAAACACTGCAAACCAAAAGGATGCTAGCATCAACACTTCCCAGAGTACATATAACATATACACCTACCGAGGATAAATAAGTAAATCAATTAAGAGAAACAGTATTAAAAGAAAAAGGAGACATGGAATATTTACGTCTTTGGGCCACTCATAAACTAGGGAAAAATAATTGAAATCATGAGTGGTATCCGTCCCGTCAACAATGTCGCCAATTGCAGCAATGTGGAGAATGAATTGTGACAGGAATGTCGTGATCTTGGAACCAAAAAGGCCAAAAAGCCTTTTTTCTGAATCTTTGGCATCATAACTTGCAGAGTTTATGTTACTTTCACCTGCTTCTGAAGTTACAAGTGATTGCTTTAACGTTCTTAAACCAAGCCCAAGAACCACATTCCTGTCAAGGATAGGTAATCCCTTCACATCAGAAAGTGAACCCTCCCCACTAGCCTCACTCGTATGATCCCTTTCCGTTTCTTCATCAGCAATAGCTCTTGCTAAATTGTGAAGCTTACCTGAAAATTTCAACAGAATGCAAGGATTGGAACCGGCTAACAATCATGTATATCACCACGATTACTTTATTAGCAATCCAGCAAAACAACAATAATAATATGAAGCCAAATGCTTACCACTAAGGAACTGCCGTTTGCCCTTATGAGCATCTTCAATCATTTGATGAAGCATGACAAGAGCACGATCTCTGTTACCTTGTCGATAAGAATCTTTTGGTGATGAAAGGATCATTTCACCTGATAAAAGAGCCTGGAGAGCTGAAGGCTTGTCCTGAGAAAATCATTTGGTAAAGAAGGATTCACTATACATTATGCAAATGATTTTACAGCCAAGTTGTAAGACCAAACCTTTGAGGGTACAATCCTAATGGGTCGGTTCCAAACCTAGCTTCACTTCCAAACGACACTCTAAGACCTAAGTGCCCTAATACCATGATGGGATTGGGTACCAAAATCTAACTCAACTGGAGACCCACCCTCATTTATTCACAATAACAGTCTAGTCACGTGGGATGAACACAACTTCCAACACTGCCAAATCCCAAATGTGCACCTCTAACAAGCTAAATATCTTATCAAGTAGGTTCCAACTCAAACGAGCCACCGTCAGAACTTCAGTAAATTCTTCAGATCAAACTACACTCGTTTATTAAGATTCATCTCCAACCTACCAACCACACGGAAAAAAANCACAAGGAAAAAAAAAAAAGGGGAAAGAGAGAGGGAGAGAGGGAGGGAGGGAGAGAGAGAAGGAACAACACATTGCCCAGACCGAGATCCTCAGTAACTTGTCTGTTACAAAATTGAATTTCTCCATTGCACGCACTTCCTAAATAGTTTTAGGTTAAAAATTATTTTCAATTACAGGGTAAGGAAAGATTCATTTGTCAAGCTTTGCGGTATAACTTATAAGGCACATTCAACACTAAAGTTCAATTGAAATGGGATAATGAGGACACCCTACAATTAACACCTCCAAACACGTCTTGAGGTTTAACATAACAAGAAATCAAGAAAGCAATATATGTTAACTAAATAACTCTCAGGAGTGATACTCATAATCTTAGATTTACCTGTTCCAATAATTCACACTGACGCTTGAGGACGCGCTTAACCACAGCTATTATAGCCACCTCGTGGATTTGGTCCCAATAAGTTGATCCAGATTTTGGAGCACTACCAGGATAGATCTCCGAAAGCATAACTTGAGCCTAATAGTCAAAATTGATGATAAAATTAAACTTGAGCCAAATAAGTCAAATATAACCAACTTTGTAGCACCTATTTCATGTTGAAATATAAATGATTCTTAGAAAATATTACAATTATTATTGACGCAAGAGGGAGTCCTGTTTTAAGAAAACAATGCCTAAAACCTTACATCCTCCCCCACCCCACAGGAGAAGTACAAGTATGAATTTATGGTGATTACTGCAATAATATGCTAAAAACTGTTAGCTGCAAAATCACTAATAACAAGTACTAAACTAGGAAGAAGTTCTAAGGTACTTGATTCAGTAGTTTTAGAGACACGTTAGGCAGCTTCGAACATGCAGCAGCAACATCCATGCAGAGAAGAATCTGCAAAGGGAAACAGACAAGTCAATCTCAACAGGTTCCGGAAAAGGTTGGCCTACTTTATCTACTTCAACAGCTATTGAGGACTAAGGACAGTGGAGAACACGTACAGAAGCCAAATGGCCCAACTGAGAGCGCAATGAGAAGAAATCCAATTCTTGAACAGAAGTTTCATCAGCAGCACAAGACACCAGATCCTCCACCTAATAGTTATTCACCAGATATGAGATTCAGAATTTCTGAAGCACTATTACGACTTCATTCGAAGTTCTAGCGTAGTTGATGATGAGATATAACTTCAGATATAAAGCAAAAGTATCAATAAACATGCAGATTGCAAACAAGAATACCAGTAATACCACAAATTCTATCTGACTAGCCAGAACTGACAACTCATCCCAGTAAAATATAAACCCGAACACTTTTTGGAATCTTTCAGAGGAGTGCAATACCACATAAAGAAATAACAATTAACCATAACTTGAATTTCCTGCAAATTTTGAGATTATGATATTAACAAGAGTTATTATATATAAATTTGAAAGTACGTGTTATGCACATACAGAAGCTTTTTGGAAGGCACCATCCACCCATTCACTCAATTCCAGTATCGCTTTGTCTTCGGGAGGTAAAGAAAAACGAGAAATGGCTTCCTCTCCAATGTCATATTTCGCTCTTTGCATGCATCTAATATACAAGCAAACATCATCACACATCAGCATGTATATGCACAGACGCACTATATGATCTCATATGACATCCACAACCAACAACGATACAGATCTTCTAGATTGGTAAAATAACATAACTAAAAAGATTTTTTGCAGAAAATGAATCTAAACCAACAGAACAACTCACAGATTCAGAAGCTTAGATGGTGCAGCACGGAACACAGTTAGAGCCTCCTTCCACCTCCATTGACGTTCAGACAATGGCAGGAGGCCTTGCAAAATCGACAGCCGCCATTCCCAGTCTTCAATAAAATGTTTTGCCTTCAAGATTCTCCATTCTAATGCTTGTTTACTTTCGGCAGATATAAGAGCACCCAAGGAATTATCCAGATCGGATATTGATGATGGTAGCTGTTGCCGTAAAATATCTAATACTTGTCCAGTAAAGAAGACAACCATCTTATTTCCCCCTTTATGGGTTGTGACATCATCTTGTTCCCCACAATGGACATTAGATGATAAGGAATTTCCTCTCACTTGATCATAAATCGCCAAATCAATTTGTAAATCGTCTATGTATAGGAGTGAGATAATAATATTCACCATATATACCTGCATCGCAAGATTGAATCCGAGCATAAGCAAGACACTCCCATAAGTTAGGATAAGGGCGACTTTTAGGCATGTCCACAAGATCTATTAAATTTCTTAAAGTGGCTCAAACAGGTTTGGGTTTATACCGCACTCAAAAGTGGCTAGAATAGATCAGTTTGGGCTTCTTTTATTTGAGTTGCACAGACAAGCATATTGTGCTGTGTATTTGTATTAATCACTTTCGTGAGATGCTCCTATCAATATACAGGTCATGGACCCCCTTAATCCCCACAGGTCATAGAAAATTGAGAAATCTAATTTGTTTCAAATTAAAGAATAAAATGTTATAGATAGAGATCCTGTATTTTGTAAAAAGAAGAACACAAAGGGCAACACCCGCGTTTCACAAGACAATAAGCATCTTGATAGCGAGAAAGGCAATCAGTGAACCCCGTGGGTGTTTACTAATAAATGGACCTGGGTAGAACTCATCATCCCCAAAAGTTGGGATATTCGGATACCATCATAGATGGGACTCATCAGTGATCCCCAAATGCTAACTCACAGGAAGAGGGTGCGCAACCCACACTTACACATAGCAACATCACAGTATCTAATTATGTGGGACAAACATAACTTCTAATACTTTGGGTTGATTCTTGTAGTTTGTGTGATGATGACTAGCCATGGGGACAGAGTTTGGGGGTTGAATTGAGTGTGATTGAGTTGTGGTAGATGTGTACGTTGAAGCACTTGATTTGTATATATATATATAATCTAAAAACAAAGGGCACTCTATACCACTATAAATGGACCTGGGTAGAACTCATCCCCACAGGCTAGGTCAAAGGGAGAGGGTGCTCAATCCACATTTATAAACAATAACAGCCTAGTAACTAATCCATATGGGTCAAACATAACTTTTCACGTGTAACATCTACACAGATAAAAAAAAAGGACATGGTTTGATTAGTCAACTAACAACATTTCTTTATGAAAAGAAGCAGAGATGACATCTAGCGACACATATAATGTACGATAAGTTTGGAAAGCGCAGAGCACAAAACCTTGCGAGAAGTATTGGCAATTGCATCCAGATGATTCTTTAGTGCTTTCAAGTGATATAACGCTTTCTGATGGTCTCCTGTTCCATCAATAGTATTCTTTCCCATAGCTCCAAGGGCCAGAACAGCAGATTCAAGAGCATATCTCATGTGTATAAGTTCAAAATCTTGCACCCTGCCAACATCAACAAGCAATGCAGCATAAACATATGCAGGGAAATTAAATAACTACCCATTAGTATACGTTAAGTTTTCAGATAAACATTTCTTGATGACATAAAAAGGAAACCTTATTCTATAGCATGACATGAAGAGAGATGTGCAGCAAAAACTAATACTTAAGTTTGTAAAACAAGATACATATTTACCCAGTGGTCTTGTCATAAATTATTAAATAAAGACGGAAATTCTTCCTTAAGAATAAGACAAGATCCTTCAGACTATAAATACAGATACATGTCAAATTAGAGAAGAAAATTACTCACAATACATTGGCTGCCTATCTGAGGAAAACAATTACGCTAAAATGTATAGAAAATAACTTGTAAATAAGATTCAGATTGCCACAAATAAAACAGATTTAAAAAAACTATGGTATCATTAAAAAATAAAATCTTGGACAAGACAAAGACAACTTTAAGATAATTAATCATACCTTAAAAATCACATTCTTACTATATTAGAATACAATAATTTAGCAGAACTAATGGATACTTTTTCAAAGTTCGAATCAGTAAATATCAGAACCCTGTATACTGTATAAATCACTATGAATGGGACTTTAAATCCGACTAGAGGATGATGTATAAAACGGTATTCAAGCAGAAGGTGAAGAAAGCAAATTTCAGCAATATAACTGAAGGTAGGAAGATTCATGGAAAAGACCTAGTTTATAAAAAACTATAGATTATATTCCGATGAAATGCATATTCGATAGAACCAAGTAGTTCAATGCGAAATGATAACATGCGACCAAAATACCCATATATAGAAAAAGTTGCTAAGTAAGACAGCAATTTCAATTATTTGCCTTCGTAGAACACATAAAGCTTATTCAAGACATAATTCCACATTACAAACTCAATCCAGTAACAAGTAATGTGAACTATAACTGCACCTCTTCCAAGCTGCTGAATTTGAAGCGATGGGCTGCATGCTAAGCAGTTCGACTGCATCTTGGAACTTTATCTCAGGAACCAAATCAAAAATTACCTACAAAAACAGGAAGAATGGTGGTCAAATTAAGACAAAGATGCGTGTGATAATTAACAACAAATAAGTGTCAAGACCATAGCCTACATCTGAATAAGAAAGATACTAGTAGTAATACAACATCTGTGTATTACATGGGTGTTAGTTAAAAACTTTATACACACAAGAGTTTTAAAAAAATAAATATATATTGTTTTAATTTCATTAAATATTTCTTAAAAATTTATTTTATTTTGTATATGCAATATGAATGTCAAATCAAAGATCGTCCAAAGATGATTAATTTGATATATCATATACGAAATTGATAACAAAAAAAAAAAAAATCTTAAGTTTTAAAATATATTTATAATTTAAGTTGACCAAGTGTTTTATAGTTTTAAAAGACCTAATAGGTATGGATAAAAGTCGAGAATCGAGATCTACATGAACTACTCCAAACCACAAAAAAAAATGATAGGATTACGAAACACCAGATATTGAGCAGAGAATTTCGAAACACCAGAAGTTGACACTTAGGTGCATTTATATATAGAGAGGGATGTTGAGTGTGAAAGCATGGCAATGGTATGCAGGGTAGAGCCTTACCCGAAGAGGACTCTGGACTGACAATCTCTCTAGTACAAAATTTTCCACAAATGGATCAAAGTGAGCATCTTGATCCCCATGTGCTGCTAAGTCTTTTCCAGATAATAAAATGGAGGATTTCCGACTCCATGATTGACCGGAATTGTTACAGGCAACAAAAGATGCAATATCAAGATGGTAGCATAATGTATCACAAAGATGTTCAACACAAGGTGCCTGCAACAGTGGAAGTATTAAAGGAGTATAATTACTTGCACGTGCAGGACAAGTCATGAATATATTCAAGTAAAACATACAAAATCCAGTCCACATCCTCAAATAGAGCTCAGGCTAGATGCAGAACGAGGGACACAAAATATAAATACCTCATCTAGCTTATTATCATACGGAGAAGACTCTTCCAGTCGAAGAGCTTGTGATTTACTTGTCCACAAAGACTGCATCAGTTTCCTTCTCATTGTTGTTTTCCCAGCTAAAAGATCCCAACCCATGGCAGCTACCAGGGGTTGAAGACGGGGGAACAGCATTAGCACCTACCATAGGTCGGTACAACGCATTGGCATAAATCAAATGAAGGCAATAATTTAATTGAAAACAATAACAAGTTGGCAGCAAGACCAGTAAAATACCAATGATTTCAATCGTATGCAATGAGACATTTTCCTAAAAGAAGTTTCAAAGCATGTCAATAGAAATTGTAGGGATAAAGCTTCCTTTTCATCAGATGGATCCATAGAAACAGGCCACTGTAAAAGGATTTATTTCTAAATTACTAGTTAAAGCTTCCCTTTTCTTCAGGTGGAAGCAGAGAAACAGGCCACCGTTAAAGGATTCATTTCTATATATAGTATCAATAAGAGCTGGAGAACATGTTGACAGAATTGTATTGCATGTGCTAGACATGCGAGGGATATTTCAGAAACATAAAGTGCACCAACTACTTCATCTGAAAATGTGCACGATAGTTCATGCAATTACAACTCATATGATCAAGTAAATATCAATATCGCTTATACAACAGTTATATGTGAAACAAACAAACAAAAAACTAAACTAAAATGCTAGATACCACGACTGAAAGGTAAGAACAAATCATCAGTTATGAAAGACTAGACCACAGATAACATTCTTTACCACAAAAAGTACTATAAAAACAAACCTGACAGGCTTCTTGAATCTGCTCGTTCTGGATGAGAGATAAAGCAGCATCCACAACGCACTCCAGTGCATGCAAGCCTCGAACACGAACATAATGATACATTTCTCTCATGCAAACAGATGTTGCCATTTTATACGACTCAGGTGTGCCAGCCGATAAGGTCTCAGGTGTCAATCGCGCGAAGAACTTTTGAAGATGTTCAAGGGGAAGAGGAGTCCTGTTGCTTTCAGAAGCACTGTAGGCCTCAATATCTTGGAGGAGCAAGTAATCTTGGATGAGCTGTGAGACCAATCACATATAAATTCCTTTTGCACTGCGTAATAGAGAAAATAAAACATCTGGAATAGTTCATACAACACCAGAATTTACAATAACAAAAAGAAGCTCACTTACATCATGTACATAAGGATTTCTCAACACATAATACAGAAATACTCATTTACCGCTTCTTTCACAACTATCAAACAATAGAACATTCATAGTTTTCCTTTTAATGCAGCCTAAGACGTCAATAAAATTTGCAACATAGCACACATTAATTAAAAATAGAGGAAAAAAGAAGAACATCATATTGGATAAGACGGAGTCCACAAATTGACCTCTTTTCTTTAAACTCTCATTCTACAAAGACCTGATGCATGAAGCAAGATTATATGCCATCGACTCATTCCAGACATATCAAAGAATATGATATCAAAGTAAGAGATAATGCAACACCAATAACAAAACTTAAGTAACAAACCAACCTGAAGTATTTGAGCAAGGCGAGCGCAACGAGATGAAAGAGCTTCAGTATATATCAACAAAACTTTATTTCGTATGGCATGTGTTGTGACTCCATAATCATACATTCCAGACAACACATTTTTTAGGAGATCTTGCAATACCGTGCTATTAGAAATCAGAGAGAGTAGAAGTCAGTAACTTGTGAATGGTGATTACAAGGGAAACAATGAAAACGTAGGAGCGGGGAGAAGCAGTAAAAATAACCGCATATTCATGCAGTTGTATTCAATACTAGAAAAACCAACAGTGATGGACTGTTGCATTTTAATAGAATAATAATTTCGCATAAGAAATATAACTGCCAGTAATTTGACGATCACGTCAGTACGGAAGGCACATGCATGATATTATACAAAGTATCAAATGGATTTATTAAAATATAACTGGCAAAAGAATTCAAATTACTGGCATAAAAAATATAACTGCCAGTAATTTGACGATCAAGTCAGTACGGAAGGAACATGCATGATATTGTAGAAAGTAGCAAATGGATTTATTGCATCTAAAGAATGGTCACTAAATTATGTGAAATACGTGATTTCGCTACATTAATCTTCTATTATGCCCCAGAATGAAATGAATAATCCAGTATCTCCGGGTCATCTCCACTCAAAGGAAACCCACTGAACAAGAGTTAGGAATGAGGAAATCAGGGAGGAGGGTATGAAATCCATAGTCAAATCCACCCAACATCTTCGGCCAAAAAACACGAACTTAATATGTCAAATTCCTCCCTAATTAGTGAACTTGGAATTTATTTTAAAAACTACTCTTTATCCTTGTATCTATTATATATAGTATTACACATGAAGATCTCTCTCGCACACATGCAAACACAAACTGACATATATTTCACAGAACCTGCTATATTTCACATGCATCACACTCGGCATAGTTCACACACGTACACCGCGCGCGTTCACTCACAATCACCACACACAGGTTGCAGCGCACATGCAATACACACTATATATTCACACACATTACACACGTCACACACACAAAAACACACTATATATTCAAACACACACTACACACATCACACACACAAAACCATACATCATATGTTTCACAGTTCACACACATATAATCAACATGCTTTCCAAATGTTAACTATATTATCGACCCAACCCATATATACTAAAGGCCCTAAGTCTATATATATGGACATCTTCATATGTGAATCAATCATCCAAAACCCTAAGGTTCGTAACATGTATCACAGCCACACAAATACATTTTTTTTTTTATCTCACCTCCACACTAGCCAACTCGCTGCCTCGGGATTGACTTTCCAGCCAAAACCCTAAGGTTCGTAACACCAAACACACACATAAACACCACAGATTTCACACCATTACACAATGCAGACATTTCACACCACATAATATATATACAATACACAGGCACACAACACATAATTCGCACAATTACATGACACAGATGTACACAAATATACATCAATTACATTTCACACTTACGCTCTACACATGCTCAGCATACACATCATGGCTTGTTTGGTAATGAGAGGTCTGGGATAGAATTAGAGGTTTCAAGCCAATTTAGAGGTTAGACCAATCAAATCTGTTAACTATACTATTTGGTAAACAGGTGTTTATATTAATTATTTGGGTCCAATTGGGTAGATGAACTTGCTGGAAAAGCAAATTGAACAGTGTAGGTGCAAGTAAAATGATAATTTTTTTCCCAAAATTACATTTATGTTTTATAATAAGTCATATTTATCATAAATTTGCATACATAATATATTTTACAAATAATATATTAATTATTATTAGTAAAATTCAACATTTTTGTATAATTTGTGAGTTAGCCTTAAAGAATGCCATCTACTAATTTTAAATTGATTAATGTTATTGTTTAACTATTCAATAGAGTAAGCATATATATATCATCAATAATATATGCTAAAAATAAAGTATGACATCCTTAGAGGTAATTTCAAATTATATTCACAATCATAACTAGTTCATATGATTCGCTAACCAAATCAAATAATACAATCGGTTATTCGCTAATACAATTGGTTATGAGCTATCCGCTCACAGCCTAACAGGCCCATATAAGTTTCATATAAGTTTCAGACAAACACATTGAGCTAATTTGCATTAGCAAATCGATTTCTCTATTATATTAATAACTAAATATTTAGAAGGAGAAAAAAAAAAGCTTAAAACTTGTAATGGATTTGAAATCAGCGCAAACCCACTTTGTATCCAGACAATATATTTTTCAAATGAACCAAATTCAAATCCAAGGTATTTGAAATATCTGTGTTGTGGATATAGATGCTTGGAATTCAAACACAACCTGAATACCTCAGTTATTAAAAATTTTGGAGTGACTAATTAGAGCAAACCTTGTTTCTGTAATATGTAAATCAATTACAAGGGCATCATGACAAACTCAAGAACGAATATGAAGGCAAATGCAAGCTCAAGAATTACAAAGTAAACAAAGACAACGATCACATTACTCCCACAACTAGACTCCACTAACTATCAGGCAAACACCAGTCTCAAGATTAAAAAAAGGACAGAAATAATCATACCGATACTCTGCCTCTTCAACTCCACAGTCTAAACGAAGAAACCTAACATGTGAAATCGCGCGATCCTCATCACCATTTTTCAAACACAGCCTCATGGCATCCATATGTGCTACCTGAACACACTTCTGAACCAACTTGAGTACCTCATCCTCCTTCCTATCCTCCTGCCGCCTCACCTCATTTCTCAAAGCAATCGCCAGTCCACCTGAATCATCATTCCCCGTGCACCCAACTTGCTCTCCAATATTCACACACATCACATCAAAAATATCGGAATTCTCCAAAATAACCCCCTTCAACGACATTAGCTCCTCTTCAAGCAAGTCGGGAAGAACCTCATCCTCCTTATCTCCTGAATCAATCAAATCCGGCCTCAATCTGTTCAATCCAACCCCTGAAAGTCTATCCAGAACTCTCAGCTCCTCATTCTTCACACCGCCCTCATCAAGTTTCTCAGTTCCCTCCAAGTATCCACCATCAACAGCTGTTTTCGAAACTCTAGAACTAACAATATGTACATACAACAAAAATTCAGCCCTCAATTTCAACATATCCGGGCCGAATGACCAAAGATTCAGTGTGGCGTCTGGGAACTGGAGCAGCTCGAGTGTGCAGAGGAAGGTGAGGATTGCAGGGGAAGGGCATGATTCGGACCATAGAACCGGGTCCGGTACACCCATACACCCGCCCTGTGAAATAACCGTTTGTAGAATGGTCCGGGCGATGTCCGGGTTCCGGGCACGGAGGCTGCGGAGCGTGGCCCGAAACGGCTCGAATTGTCCAAGGAATAAGTGGTTTGCGGTGACCCTAGAGAGGAGTTCGGTGTCCTTGTCCTCCATGATTGGGAACTTTGAGGGAAATTGTTGATGTGCATGTATGGTGTCAATGAACCAAATGGTCCGGAGGGGAGAGGTGCGAGAGAACAGCTGCAAATTGGAGATCGATTAGCTTTATAGAGTTCGATAGTGGAAACAAACGACAAATATTAAAAATATTAAAAAGAAGAAATTAAATTAATTAAATAATTTGTTTGTTTATAATTGGTAAGAATATTTCTCTCTTTTTTCATTGGTTAGATAGAGTGTAAAAGAGAATGTGGATGAACCACATTCTTCTCTACATTGTAGACATTAATTATGTCCACATCATCACAACATTTGTAATCACATTGTACATTGAAGATGAAAAAATGGTGAATCTATTAAATGAGTTGATGTAGAATGTAATTTACCACAACAACATTTGACCATTGGAGATGCTCTTATAGAGTATGGCTTCATGGTTTTCATTTGTAAATAATTGTGGATGACTCCATAAGCTATCATCCGATAGCTCCATAACAAAACCGCGACAATAGTAATAGTTTGTATTTAATCGTGAGTTAAGTTTCTTTTTTTTTCGTTCAAGCGACATCCATCATGAGTTTTTTTTTTTTTTCAAAACGGCATATTCATTCACTAAAACACATAATTACAACCGGCTAACTAGCTGGAATAGGAGGACTACCCAAAGCAACCTAGATGTCACAACATACACTACAACAATGACGAACAAGAATAATAAAAGGTTTCCCACAGGCAGGGGCGGAGCCAGGATTCAAATTCTACCCGGGCTAAAGATATTTTCACAAAAAGTTTCATTTCATAAATAATCAAAAGTTCTATGGTACATCCTAATCATTATTGGTAAACTCGTATACCTTTTTTCACAAAAATTAACAATTATGCAATAAAATATCGTACTTTTATTTATTAGTGTGCGATTGTCAAGTCAAAAGCATGTCTATTATTAAAAGAAGTATGATTGTCTAATCACTATATCCGTCTAACACTAACAAGGCTTTAGGCCTTAGAGATAAATTATAAGCATGATCGACTTTAAAACTAAATCAATACTAAATCAACACACACACACAAAAAAAATTAAATTACTACTAAGTGATAAATTATAAGTATGACCGGCTCTAAAAAACTAAATTAATCACCGGCTTTAAAAAACTAAATTAATCCTACATCAACATTAAATAAAAAATAAACTACTACTAAGTAAACCGCGAATATTTAGTATGTATTAGTTAGTAAAGTATATAAATTGAAAAGTAAATTAAATCATTAAAGATTTATTATATAATCAATAAATAAAACAACATTCATAAATAAAATGTATATTTAGGATAAATACATAAACAAAATTACATATATAATTTGAAGATAAATACATAATATAAAATAATAGCGAAAATATATATATGATGGTTAGGAAGACTTAAATACTTATTATATTCATCAGTAAATAAATCCTCATTAATCATTAACTTACCAAGTTTTATGTCAAGATAAAGCTACTCCCCCTAATCACGCTTTTAATATGCTAACAAATATTAACAAAATAATAGTTGAACAAGTCAAGTCACCTGCGCTAAATTAACAAAAAAGTTAAAAGAACATTATATAAATGGATATGCAGTAGAGAAGCCACCTGGGCTACAGCCCAGGCACTCGTACGAGTGGCTCCGTCTCAGCCCACAGGAGAATAACACAAACTCCCCAGAAGAATAACACGCTCCTCCAAAGAGGAGAAAACACGAAAGCTCTCATCTACGGCTGACGAGCAACACTACAAGCCGGCATGTCACCAACCACCCAGATTCATCACCCCACAGACTGAAACCCGAATCGGAGCACCGAGCTTAAACTGCAGCAAAGACCTAACAAGACCCAACCCTCCAAACCTGTTGTCCCAATAGGCTGACCACCCACAAGCCTGGCCAAAATCGGCCCCAAATCTCCACCCCACTCCTACAGACAGCCAAACTCTTTCAAACCCCAGAGCCACCAACCAACACCACCAGTGGAGCCATCGCCCAACCCCAAGATTGACGGAGAACGGGGGGCAGAGCACCAATGTCTCTAAGCCCGAAACCCTGCGACAACCACCCGCGGAACTAGCCGGCGACCACGGGATTTGAACCCCACCACCCGCAGCCCCAAAACCATGGAGACGGAAAAACAGGGGAAAAATGGAACTCACCTTGAGGGCATCTCCCCAAAACCCGCGGAAAAACCGGCGACCATCGGCCAGTGCCCATCCGAAGACGACCCACCTAGCCTAATCCTTCACCTCGACGGCATCTCCACATTCCGAGGGAAACCAAGAGCAAATGGCGAAAGCCCAACGACCGAGAGGTCCTCGAAATGACGACAGCCCGAGAGGAAGCACCGGGCGGCGACGGTGGATGTGCGGCGGCGCGATGCGCCACGCTGAAGAGGAGGCGAAAATGATTTGGGGATTTAGGTTAGGATGGGGATTTCATAGAGAGACGGACAATTTTTTTAGAGAGAGATAAGTTGTAAGCAAGTACTGTTACTCCCCACGTGAGTTAAGTATTTTTTTTTTTTTTCAAGTAGCATAAGAACTCAATAAAAACTAAAAGGAGTCATACAATCCAATGTGCCAATTAGCCCAATACAAAAGAGAACTAAGGGAGAACCGCACCACTAGGCGGCCTCAAATCACAACCGACAAACACGCCAAATACTAGATTAAAGGCGAGCACACCAACTCGAGACCTTTAGAAACGAAACAATCCAAAAAAAACAAAAAACAAATAGACAACAACATAAGAACATCAACCATTGAACCAAAGAACCTAGCTAATGATCTTATGCAACCAAAGCCTAAACATCCGAGACTTCCTGCTGGAGAATTCCAGCCAATCCTTCAAAGCAAGTTGCACAATGATCTTCTCCGGCAACCAAGACTTCTGAAAAACCCAAAGATTGCGGGATTTCTAAAACCACCATAAAATGTACGAAGAGAGCTGGATGGGAGACTTTAAAATGTCTGAGTGATTGAGAGAGGAGATCTCCCACCACCAACCTCTAAAGCTGCAAACATTGGCGTTCAAAATCTCCCATTCAAGGGGATAGGATTTTCAAACCAGAGAGGCTCTTCTAAAATTAAAAAGAATACGTTCGATGCTCTCTTCATAATCTCCACAACAATGGTAAAATGGTATCAATAGCAACTCCTATGTTCCTCAAATTGAGGCTAATCGATAGAGTCCCTGAGAAGTTCTTCCAGATAAAATGTTTAAGATTCCCCTTAATATCAAGCTTCCAGCACTTATTTTTGGCAGCCTTGTCCTTAATGTGAGTCTTGTTATTTTTAGCTAGATCTAGGGTGAAACCTTCTCTAGAGTTAGTTTAGAATATGCATTAGCGATAGAGAATAAACCATTTGTAGCATCAGTCCAAGTCCATCTGTATTTCCGAGAATAAACCATTTGTAGCACCAGTCTAAGTCCATATGTCTTTCTGAGCAATATTAATGGTTGAGATTGCCAGGATGGCTTTACTTTCATAATCTGAAAAGCTGCTCCTAACAAGCTCTTCATTCCATCAATTCCCACCTGCAAGAGATCACTAACCTAGAAGAGCTGCAGAGGATTATGACCAAGTAAACAAGACACCCCAATGCCAGACACACAAGGGCCCAAGGAGATCCTTGTGGTTAATCCTGTATAACTGGCTAGTGTTGAAAACAAGCTTGTGCTCACTCTGCATGACTTTCTGCATGGACTCTACAGACCATCTAAGATCAGATCATATTTTTTCTCTGTAAGTTTCAACCAACCATTTGAAGTTGGCATGAGACACCTTTTGATTCACGGGGCACATACATAGTCCTCGCCTGACAAAATTGCATCATAAATGACCCACGGACAATTTTGATGCTTACATTTTACCTGAACTTTGGTTTTCTCATTAATATTGAAACAAACATCTCTACCATTCTTTATTGTATTGTCTCTTAGGGTCATTCATACTTGTCTTCTTATTGAAAATTGCTTGACCCTTATGACCCTTACTAATTTTTGCCCTAGTTTTATCAGACTTAGAAAGACTATGAGGTAAGTCCACCCCAAACTCAACATCAAGATGAATATTATCATCAAACCAATCATGATCACCTTCTAAATCAGATTTCTCTCCTTGACTGTCAACAAAAATTTCAGATAGTTTAGATCTGACCCTAAGAATTGCTCATCATCAGTAACACTACTCAAACTATTATCAATAGTGCCCCCACATCCCCATCACCACCCACAGCAGGAGGATTTTCATTCAGTTCATATTCATCATCATCACATATAAAATCCAAATGCTCACTAATTGTACGAAGTTCAACTGAGTTTTCAGAGTTGTTTATTTCATGTTCCACATACAGACCAACTAATCTATGTTCTTCCACCATGAACTCCATTTGCATGACAATATTGGCCCCGTTTGATAGATAGAGGATTGAAGATAAATTAGCGGATTGGACTTAATTGAGAGGTTTGACCCGTCAAATCCGCTATTGAGCTTGTTTGGTAAATAGCTTATTTGATATGTTTTTTGGGCAAAAAACTCTAATTTAGAAAAAGCTCATTAGAGCAGCGTTTTGGGGATAGAAGATTCACAAAAAAACTCATTTACTTGGAACTTTTTAATTTGTCTTATTTATTTTACAATCTACATTGGTTTATGGTGCTAATAAATAATAATATTTCACCCATATGATTAACTTATCTAGAAAAATGTAAAATTCGTAACTTCTTCATCAAGTGTTAGTAATTTTTTTTAAAAAATAATATATTTATAAATTACCAACTAAAGAATATTAAATATTTTAATATATTATTATTAAAAGAATACACCCTAAATAATAAAATGTCCTTATTGGTTATTTTACAATGTCAAACAGCTATAAGCTTTCAGCTATTTACCAAACACTTATTTAAAAACCGCTAATGCAATCCGCTGGTCAAATCAGCTAAGATAATCCGCTATCCGCTTATCGCCAAACAAGGCCATTATCATTTTCGAACAACACAAGGTTATTGCAGTCATTAACACCACTCCTACTGCAGTACACATTTTTTACAGTATCAATCCCTAAATCTTTAGCACGCTCATTACCTCAGTCAGCGACATTTCATCAGGATGACAATAATCGACATGTGAAATCTCACCATTTAGATAGTACTTGTGGCCCAATTCCACAAACTTGCCGCAATGGTGAAACTCTAATTGTAAAATATTCATCATTTGTTTCTGCAAACCACGTGACAATTACAAAAATATAATTACTCACTATAAACTGTTGGACATGGCCAACTGACGGGCCGGTTCACGACCGGGGTCGTCAATCCTCAAAACTTGGGCCCCTAACCTATCCGACTATATGTAAAGGCCGATTCACTGAACTGCCCCGAATCGGCGGTTCATTGAACCGCCAGTTTTTTTAATAAAAATAAAAACTAAAAATAAAAAACAATGTCAACCCGTCTCGGCCCGAATCGGCGGGTTTAAAGAAAAACCAAGACCCTGAACCTGCCCAGTATTACCACGGGTCCAGTTCAAGGACCCGTATGTCCCGTACATACGGGTCGATTCCGACGGTCCGGGGTGACACTGGCCATATCTGCAAAATAATCACAATAATTATTGTATGTATTAACATATTTTGTCAACACAAAAAACAAAACAAAACTTACCATATGACGGGCCATTCGCACTGGATCCATCATTTGTTCTCACGAATTTGCCTACCCATTACTAACGATTTGAAGAAAATATAGCTTTTCAATCCGTTCATTTGGTTTGTTCTTCTTTTTCTTCTCAGAATCTAGGTTGGGCGGATTCTAGGTTTTTTTTCTTTCAATCAGAGCACTATTTCTTTCTGCCCCGTTTAATTAAACTCCAATTGAGATTTGAGAATTTTGTCCGTATTTTATGGATTAAAAAGACCAAAAAACCCCTAAGAATAGCCGCCGCTGATCGAAAACAAATGAAGTGTAACATTTCGCGAAGTTTTGACTGGTTAAGTGCCACAAAAATAAGTTTGGTGGACAAAATTTTTCTATTTTTTTTAGTGCAACTAATGAAAGATTTATTTGGGGAAATTACAAGGAAAAAAATTCAAAAAAATTGATGCACGAAAGGCAATGAATCTAGGCGGGAAGCGCCAAATATTTTCCCTCAACCTAAAAGTATCATTCCCCAGATAATCCGCAGTTATATTTCATATTTTTATTTTTTATCCTTTGTCTTTCTCTGCCAAAAACTGGTTGCTCTTCGAACGATGGCTGAAGCTCGCCGACGCCCGCCGGCGGTGGGCGCAACTGTCCAAAACGACGAGGGTATGGAAGTATCAGAGTCATGTTCGACGACGATGGACGTCGAAGCCATCCGCGAGAAGCTCCGTCAGCGATGGGAGTTGGCCTCAGTTCTCAACTTCCTCCAAGTAAACGGACTTCTTTTATTTGTCGTTTTTCATGATTTTCGGTCCGTTGATTTTATTAGTGTTCTGTTCCTGCTTCGATGAGAAACATGCGTTTTATCAGCCTTTTGCTTTTGATATTCCCTTGTTTCGAAGGGTTATACATTGTTTTTGTGGTGGACGTGGATTATAGGCTATCAACTTCTATGTATGTGTTCCCCGAGTCAGAAAACTGTTCAAACTTGCAGTATAGGTTATGGCGATTCAGTCCCAAAATGCTCTGTAATAATCTGAAAATAGTCAGATGAGGACAATTATTAAAAAAAAACACTGTTCCGTACTTCATAAGGTAGTTATAGCTGAGGTCTGACACAAAATTCTAAGATTGGTTCGTGTGTGATAACTGAGCTAGAATCTAATGTGCGCTTAAATCTTCAGTTAGCCTGCTGGGACTAGAATTCTTGTATGCTTAATCCCGAAGGAGTTTGTGAAAGAGTGAAAGTTTTAGTAAAGACAGTTACGGCTGCCACTGCAATGCCAAAAAATCACATTATTTGTTTACTGTAGCACTCAATAGTTTTTTGTAAGGTAGTTTAATAGTGCAAGATTGAGTTGACTGCATTCACAAAGGGTTGTGATCCATATGAGAATAAAAAACACAGAGCACCTTGTTTACATGTGCGCCAATGTTTTTCATTGAGTAATTGACTTGTCGTGTCTATAGATCATCTGAAAGAAAAATAATAACTTGCATGATCAGTGACACGTGTTTCACATTTTGTAGTTGACATATTTGGGATTAAATGCCATAAAATTTCTTCTTCTTTTGATTAACTAATTGTTTTTTTTTTCATGCACTGATTCTAATCATATATTGGTCTGCACAAATGTCCCACAGGTATTTGAGCCAGTTATTGAGAGTGATCTGAAGATAACCGCTGAAGATGTAGAGACAGCACTTATTGAGCAGAATGATACACTTGCTCAGATTCATATAGCTCTTTTGAAGGTTTTTTCTGCTACTTATCCTAAGTGATATGAGCTCTTCCATAACTCTCCCCACATGTTTTAACTTTTGTTTGCCTTTCATTTCAAATTTAGAATTTGTCTATATACTCAACCTTTTTCTTGGAATGAAATTAAAGACTTTATGGTTCTCTTGGGTTTCATCTCTAGCCTACCCCAACTTGCTTGGGACTAAAAGGCTATGTTGTTGTTGTTGTTGAAATTAAAGACTTTATGCTTCAAGAGTCGTGTTATTAGACTTGCTGATATACTTTGGTTGGATTGTGTGGGTAAGATTTCACCAGTGAGACAATTAAACCTTAACAAGACAATGTTTGAAATGGGACTAGGTTTCTGTTTAAAACTTTACATGCCATTTCATTTGGTTACAAGTGTTAGACTTATGATTTTCTTTTCCCACAGGGAATTGTCTCGAAGAGAAAAATGCCGATGAGCACTGGTGATTGGATAGTCACTCTCAGCAGGACACTTTCAGCATGGTGGCCTTGGGTAGGGTTACTGAGGATACTTTTTTGAATATCAAAATTCAAAATATGCTGATGCACTTCATTGTGATATGCAGGTTGCCACTGGGGAGTTCCCTTTAAATGGAGCCAAAGGGTATGATCTATATATTATACATGGTATAGTGTGGAAAATATTATAGCTTTTGAATTTTTTCTTGTAATTGTTTAGGAAGGAGATATCTGTCTATAGGGATCTTGAAGCAACAACCCGCCTTCTAATACTAAAAGCTCTTTGCGAAGTTCGAGTTGATGTATGTATCCTGATTCCTGAACCTATCTTTTTATATGATCATATTTACAAGCATTTACGTTTGGATGCTCTAGTTTCTGTAAAACATTTTGTGGAGTTTTATTCTCCTTGCATATCTAGGTGGACTGCATTAATCTGTTTCACAAAGGACAGACATCTTCTGAAAATTTACATTTTTGAAAGCTAGTTCTTAAATTTCTTAGTGATGATTTTGATATTGGGTTTCGTTTGCAGCAATATGATTCAGGGTCTTATGTCAATGAGGCAATGAAAGAAAATTGTGAAATTTCAACTTTCCGAAAGTACAAGCTTGCTGATGATGGAAGTGGAATTTACTTCTGGTAAGTGTCAACAGTGATTACTTGTGAAGAATGAGTCAGAAATAGTGGTGTCTTATAAGTTGTATATTTGGTCACAGGTATGACGGAAATGAAACTATTGGTCACAGATTATATAAAGAAGTTCAAGTCTTTGAAAATGAGGGTATTGGTAAGGGTGCTGTGCAAGTAATCCTCTCTCAATGGGAGACCCTGGCGACAAATCTCGAAGAATTCAAAAAGATTGTGGTATGTACCAGCTTTTTTTTAATTAACTTCTTGCTGCCAGATTGCACTCATGCTCTGCTTTTTTGGATGGTAGAGTGATTTTTCATCTAGTGGAGTTGCATTAGAGGTTGCAGTCAGCAAGCGTCTTAACGTTGATGTTATTCCTGTTCTTGAAAGGCAATGGAATGTACGTTTCACTTCTTTCCGTGACTACTACTTCTGCTTTTCTGTATTATTGTTGACTTTACTTGATGGCTAAGCTTCTACAGAACTGCTTTTGACAGAAAAAGACGAGGGCAATGCACCAGAAGCAAAGAGAACAGATGCTCCTGAATGGTTTTCGAAGTTCGCGATTAACTCGATCTTCCCATAATCAGAAGACTGTTGATTATAGATTTGGTATTTTTCAATTATCAATTATATTCTTAACTAACTATTCCATATCGCTAGGTATAATAAAAAAAATACAGAAAGGTTAAGCTTCAGAACAAAATTTGCAACTTCACTCTCAGTTGTATCCTGAGTAGTGATAGCTTCAAAGCTATGTAATGATGTCAGATGACTGATGATGGCGTAGCAGACAAGATCATGATAGGATTTTGCCTTTTTCTTAAATAAATCTGCATCAACTAGATTCTATTAAACCTGATGTAGGAACAAAGTATCTTGTATGCTTGATTCACTATCTATGTCCCTCTTGCTCAGACCAACTATGAACGCTTATACCGCACATGACGAAGGTAGTTTAGTGTTAATTGTAAACACATGTACTTCTGATCAAGTTTGGAGAAACATTGATGACATAGTGGAAGCCTTGACATTTCTAATTTCAGGTCTTGATGCAATATAATCAAATTGTAATACTTTCTTAGACATTGTTTTTATATGTTTATGCCTTTATGGAGTTATATTCAAATTTACTCTTTATATCTGTTTAAAGTGGAGTATTCAAGCACTAATCTAAGCTAAAAGATAAAATACAATGAGACAGGTGAAATTTGTTCTTTGGAACTGTGAGGATAACCGTTTGAATGATTTAATCATTTCAAAGTTGTAGACAGTAACTGCTGTAACCCAACTTCAACCACTGATTATCTGACTCTGGGTGCTTATTGTATTGCAGATCATTATGACCGATCCATTTCAGAGGCCATACAATATGCAAAGTATAGTCTACTTACACTTTTGTTATATATCCTTGTTTCATGTATCTGTTGATTCTCTTGAGTTAATTATAAACTACATGGTTGCTAGATATTTCTTTCTACTTTGGTAAAATTGAAATCTATTAGGCCAGCTAAGTCTTTGGGATCTGAATTGTCTGACTCCCCTCTCCCTTTCACTCTCCGGCTCTTTACTCTCCACCTCAACCGTACTGAATTTCAAGTGATTTCATTTGCACTTTTTTGTTTTATTTTTGACCTCATTGATTAATATTTGTAACATATTTGTTCTTAAGCAAAAGGAAGACGAGGGCCGAGAAAACACAAGATGAGAAACTCAACCCGAGAAAAAAGGGAACTGCCTCAAACGAATTCAACAATTCAGGCACTACTTCATTTGATGGTGAATCCAATGAGAGCAACACCTGCAGAAATAGTCATCGAGGGGAAGACAGATCTGATGAGTCCAGCCATGATGAATATGACAATGAAAAGGAAGAACATGACATTGGTGACATCACTGACCAGGAAAATGTTCACTCCAAAAAACAAATCAAGCAGATAGTCAAAAGGCCAGGATCCCATTTCAGCAAGAGGCTAGCTGGGATTCCTGCCCACACCATCTCGGAAAGCATCAACTTAGGTGCGAAAAACAGGCTGAGGCAAAGGCCTTCCGTTAATACTGCTCTTGAGCCTGCTGTGGTTCCTGATTCAGAAGACGAAAGCTTGTGATGGCGACACGAGGTGAAGCTTCTAGAAACTGACTGTGAATGGTTATACAGATAAGTTTGAAAAAAGTTCATGCTTAAAGACATTTCTGATGCCATTAGCAAGTGAACTGGGTTTTTTTGATGGATTCTGTATAAAGTGATTACTTTCACCTTTTTTTGGTGTTGAACCCTGATGCTGTGACTGCAATTGTTATGATTTTCGACTGCTTGTAGTAAATGGTGCCATTAGTGTGATTAGTAGATATCAAGTCTATTGATGGCTACTTTTAAGTTTTCTTGCAATCCTCCATCTTTTTAGTATTATGGTGTGTAAGGTTTGTGTAGATGTGCTTAATATTTCTACATGTGCACCAATGCAGAAGAAAAAACAGGTATTCAATATCATAGCAGAAAGTTTGCGTGTACGTATGACTAACAGTTTGTATAGTCAAAATCAACAAGCATCTTCTGCAACACTCCAGTGCTTATTACCGATTTTAGTATCGGCCTATGTTTAAAACATCTATTACACTGAAAAAGGCTTGCAGTATATACTTGTGCATTTTTCTCACATTAAGCTCAAAGTAAGAAAGCAGAAGCTCTTCCATGTAATCCCGATTGATGGAGTTGTCATCTTGTTTTGATATTACCATCTCCAACATTGACTCATAGAACTCTTCATATGGTTTCGATGTGTATATGTACACAATGAAGCTCCGTTTGGAGGACTTCTCAATGAACATATTTGGAAGTGCTTTTTCATGAGAAAAATTTGTTGCATCTTCTATTGCTGGGAAATTTGAAGGTTTACAGAAGTATAAGGGTGGATCGCTCATCCTGGAAGGCTGCAGTTTGAAATGATTTTGATTGTGTTTCTGAACTAAACACGGTTTGTTATGGTTAAGTGAAGGCATTTTGCCCATGAAATCTTGTTGATAGAAAGGATAACTAACAAGGCTTTGTTATAGAGGCTAGAATTTATGATTTACGGTCAATTTTTTTTATTTTTCTTGGCAAATGGGCGATAGGGCTGCTTGTGAGAAATTAATTCGAGCCAGTACAAAAGTAAAATAGAGGCCTTTATTGTTTTTCAATTTATTGTGAGAATTGAAGTTAAGTAATAAATCATATTACATATACCAGTGCGTAGCCCGTGTGATGCACGGATAAATAATATTAAATAATAAATATAAATAGGTCTCGAGTTCGAGTCACCCAATGAAAGAAGTGGGGAACCACTATTATCCTATTTTAAAAGAACAAAAAAAAAAAAATTATAAATTAAAGATGAGAGTAAACAATATAAATTAATAATTAATTATAAATAAGTCTCGAGTTCGAGTTACTCAATGAAAGAAGTGGGTAACCACTATTATCCTCTTTTAAAAGAGCAAGAAAAAAATATTATAAATTAAAGATGAGAGTAAACAATATTAAATAATAATTATAAATTAAAGATGTGGGGTTAACATGTGATATAATTTACCGTATGTCAGTTATTATCAACAATATAAAATTAACTTGTACAAGGGAACATAAAGTTTGTATGTTTCAAATATTAAAAACATGTAAAAGTATGTAAAGGTTTCTGTATTATTATTAAAAGATGTGAAGTCACCTACAATTTTTCTAAACTATTTTGGAAAGAAAACATGTTTAAAAACATTTAAATTTCATATTTGTATTTTTCTAAACTCTTTTTAAAGAAAACAAGATGTAATTTGAGAGTATTGCAAGTGGGAAGAGGCTTTTATAGTTTCAAACTGTACGAGTTTCTGGAGATTCATAAGATTTAATGCAAAGTAAGGACCAATATTTTGAAGGCAGCATTTGGTTGATATTGAGGGTCTTGAGATTATATTCTTTGGGCTAGTTCGACTAATTTGTTTTCAAATGAAAGTTAAAACATATCTACAAATGAAATCCCTTTTGTTGTTTTGACAGCATAAAAAAAAAACCACCAAAAATATTTTTCAACCATTAATACCAACCAAAAAACTTCCACAAACAGGTGTTATTACCCTACCCTAGGCTGGTCCAACAAAGGATCATTTGCTAGACCTCGAAATTGTTTGCAACACATACACAAAACCCAAACTGGTAGCAGAAGACAGCACAACCAGCAAAACCGCAGTTCTAAAATTTGGCACGAAAGCAGGAGAATGGGATAATGGATATTGGATGAATAGCATATAAAATCGAGCAAAATAAGTAGCTCAAAGTGTTAGTTTTTAACACTTTATAAGAGTGCCAGACGTTATACAAGTTTAAAAGCTGCCTTAGATTTACCCAAATTTATTTCATTTTTAAAATGAATTAAGAGAGAGATTTAATATACTTCAGAGTTTTGCATCTATTATCGGTTGTACCAGATTCGTTTCGCGTACTACAAATAATCCTACCACAACATGAAATTTATTATGCGAAAAACTGATGCAGCACTACATCCGTATAATCATTTCTATGGATAACACCACTACAAAATGTCAAATTTTAGGCTATCTCCTTAAAAAAGGGATGCTCAAGAGCTTCACGAGCTGTGAGACGTTCGGATGGGTCGAATTTCAACAAGCCATGCAACAGGTTCACGAGAGCTGATCTTGAGGAATCAACATGCCTCGAGACAAGATTCTGCATTTAGACAAAGTTACTTATTACAATATCTCGAGCAATCTAGCACCAAAACAAAGGAAATGGAAATAGTATGCAACCAAAACCTTGGAAAAAAAAAGGTTAAAGGTGTAACTACAAAGCACCACAAGTTTGACCTAATTAAAAGAAGTGTTCACTTTCACAACTTAGAAAATGCCATTGTTTGATCCAGTATTAAAATTGCATTGTTATTGTAATGTTTTTAGTAACAATATGAGCAAATTGGGTGATGAAGGGAGGGTGGGAGTGGAAAGTAACACAATATAATACCCCGCATTTTCTGGAAAATTTTCAACCTCCTGTTATTAGGTCAACCTCAAGGATAATATCTCTAAATAATTAACCCGACAACGAGATCTGGTGTGTTTTTGTGCATGTGTGTTGGATCGGAGGGGGGGTGGGGGGGAAGGATATAAAATAGCAACCTTTAGCTGGTCAAGTTTCCTTACTGCTCGAATGCTCTCTCTGGACACTGCTCCTTCAGGCCAGTTGAGTCGTGATCGTCTGAAGTATTTTTCAGCACCTTTGCTGCAAATTTCACGAGAAAAAAGCTACAGAATCAACTTTCAGAACTTCCATGTGCTCCCAACTCCCCAGAGAAGAACACAAGAACACAAAACAATTTAATTAGCAAGAGCAGTACACTAGTCAAAGCAATTAGTAGACAAAAGTTATAATAATCTAAAACACAAGAGTCGAACATCACTGAAAAACCCCATAAAGATAATAATAATAAAAAAAAAATGTACTTTGCTTTTCGAGCCATATGCTCGGGCAATGGACCTAACACTCTCTCCATCATAGCCAAATGTTCCAAGTTCTCATGTGTCTGAAAAAGAACTTCACCCTGAAAGAATGATCTTTATTTATGAGGAGACAAAAACAAGAAGGAGAACAAAAGCAGAGATCAGCTGGACCAGGAAAAGAAATGGTAGATTGAGAGAAGCCAACACTAACCGTGCAAAGTTCTATGAGTATGCAACCAACACTCCAAATATCACAAGGATAGGTCCAACCTAAACCTGAGAAAATAGAAGATGGGCCAATTGCTGAGTAGCTAAGACAAACCTTGGAAAGAGCAAGATGCATTTCTATCCGTACACTTCATTTACAAACACAATTGGTGACATACATGCTCCCAGTTCATTGCATTGCTATGAAATAAAAAACAAAGAGGACAATGCTAAGCGCAAAGAGCTACTATCACAGTACTAAATATATTTTAGAACCAGGTTAACCAGTGTGCAACGCTTTACAAAGCTCTTAAATCAGAGCAGGTAGAATCCTTCTAGAAGAAGAATCATTCTAAGTATGCCGCAAGAAAGTTTGGCAAGAAGTACAAATGCTAGGCATAAGCAATAAATTTTGTTCCATATGTTACCAGCCCGAGATGAATGCTGATATCTTATCATTCATTATCATATTTCACTAAGCCATAACAAGTGCATAATTTTGTCCTATCCTAAAAGAAATGAAAAGTAGCAGCTGTTGAGAAGGTTTGGATCTGATGCCAGAGAATGTTAAACTATAAGGCCATATAAAGTTAAAGAATGAGAACAGAAGCAGTGTGAATCTCACAGACAACATGGGAATTAGTTACCTAGAATGACCTCAGGTGCCCTGTAATGCCTTGTTGAAACAATGGAGCTATGTATCTGACTATCATAAGCAGTACTACCAAAGTCTATCAGCTTAATGTCACTTGACTTTGGTAAACACCTGAAATTCGCACTCTCTGGTAACTTGTGAATCAACAAAAATAAAAGTTTCAGTATAAGATCAGGTCTATGTCCAATTACAAATGGATCTAACTGTCAAGGTCAAATACCTTGCTAACCGGAAGCTTTACAAATTCAGAAGAGGCGAGAAGTATATTTTCCGGCTTCAAGTCGGTGTGGATTAATCGTAAATCATGCATGTCTGTCAAATGTATTAAAAGATTAGAAAAAGTAAAACATGACCACATTTGAAGTTTGGTGATGTGCCTATAATTACACAGAAGGCTACTAAAGATCTTGCTAACTGGAAAAAAACAAATTAATACAACTTAAGAGGATAAAGCAAGGACAAGGGTAATCCACAGACATGCTACAGATTCCAAAAGCTGGCGCCCAAACTCCCGAACAAGATCCACAGGAAAGGGAGAGTATCTATTTCTCCTTAGAAAATCAAATAAACTTGGTCCAAGCTTCTCAAAGACCTGATAAAACCATTGAAATCCATAGAAAGGAATTTCTTTGTCAAACTATAAGTATTACAATTGGAGTTCCCACTGGCAATTCAACTTTAAGCAAACACAACAAACATCATCATTAAATGTGATACATATTAGTGACTAGTAACAATGAGAAACAGTTGATCTGAAGCTAGACTAGTTTTTCTTCCTCAAAAGGGAGATGATTGTTAGTTGGTTGCACATGACCATCGAATAGAGAACTGAAAAAATTTACTACCATGTTTTCATGTAAAAAGCCTACCCAAGCAGAATGCAAATAGGCCAATCATGATGTGTATTATAACCGCAGGTTAGAAATGAATATAGCTGGAAATATAGGATGCTAGAAAAGAAATACTTACAATGCATATGTGATTCCGATAATCAAACCAACTATGCATCTTCACGCAACTGCAAACAGAAATGTAAATAAATAAAACAAAAAATCTAACAGCAGCAACAGCAGCTAGTGAACTAGAAACAACTTACTGTGAACCATCTTTATCATTTTTTGCAAGACGCTGAAGTACATCAACCTCAGCCATGGCTGCATCGCGGTACTTGCTTATGCTTCTAACAACTTTAATAGCCACATATTCTCGTCTTTCACGATCCCAACATTCCAATACTCGACCAAAGGTGCCTACAGCACTAGCAATTTGCTGATTTGATACAAGAAGAATGAAATATAAGGTTTTGCTTATCAGCAGGCATGTGACCGCTAACCTTCACCCATCTTGCTAAGTATCTTATCTGCACAATAAAAGCAGAAAACATGTTCAAAAATTTGGGCTTCAAAATAGATTAATATCTAAACAAGTCCATAAGATTCATCAAGAAAAAAGCATGTCCTACATCCATTTTTACACACGTATGACCTGACATATATATGTGAAAACAGAGATTGAACTAATAAATTTCAAAATATTAAAAAAGCAGGCAAATATTCACAGTTTTCTGGGTAGCAATAGCAGAAAGTTGTTAGCTAATAAGCATCCACAACATAGCATACACGAAACTCTTCCAAAATAGTCGAAATCTCGATTAAGAAAATATATATATATATAGATATATAAAAGCAAACACCACCATTGGCAGCAACAAAATTCAGTGGCAGGCTAATATTGTAGCAAAAACTCCAAAATACAATTGAAAATCAAACAAGTGGGAAACCAAATTACATCTAGGGGTGAGATTCTCCCCAAGGCTGTACACATAATGACCATCTCGATCGTCATCCCTCTTCGGAGGGGACACATGTCTCCTTAATAGCGGAGCCGGAGGAGCCCTAGCTTCTTCATACTCACCATCCTTCCGATCATCCTGCGGAAAATGTCCGCAAATGAAAAAAGAAAAAGAAACACGTCAGTATTTTCCAACTTCAAACCCTAACCCAAGATGTAATTTGATTCCTCAACAAAAGGGATGGAACCCACCTCTGGCTGCCCCGAAGGAGCGACGTCCCACGTCAAACGGCGCCGTTTCCGAGTGAGCCGCTCTTTGTCTTCCTCCACCATAACTCCGACTTTGCAGCTAGCCACCGGGTTGACGAATATGGATACACCGATGTGTATGTACGAGCGCGTATCCGAATAAATTAATTTGAATTCAAGGATTCGTAAAACCACTGCAACCAACAAAGACACAAAGAAAAACTGAAACAGCGATAAACAAGAGAAATTGTGTTGGTAAACTAAAAGCTGGAGAAGATAAGCTCGTTAAAGGCGAACCAAGGGAGACTTGACAATTAGTAATTATCGCTGACGGCTGGTGAGTAGATTAAACGATGATGCCTTGCGATTGGGTTTCCTTATTTCCACATTGCACCCCTGGTTTTACTTAATCATACAACGACCTTCACATTTTACTAAAATATTTTGTAAAATAAATATACATGCCATATGTACTATATATTAAATTAGTACCCTTTAGCTGTGCCCGCACTGTTTGGTTAGAACACCAAATGCAGCGGACAAAATTATCCCTCCAATAAATATGGCAAGCACTACTCCAGACGAAAATAAGCCAAATAAAAGACGAGAAAGAAAAAGAACACAAAAATTGATAACGGAGTTCGGCGAAACTAGCCTACGTCTCCGGGCACCGCCAACCGCAACGCCAAATTTACTACACTCACCAACAAAATATAATTTGGGTTAAATAACCCACAAATTAGGATTTCCTTAATTAAGAATTTCTTTCTAAGAGAGGAGAGAATAGAATAAGGTGCAATTGTAACCCAAAGGCAAGAGACCTATTTATATTAATAACATCTTACACATCTTTGGTATATATCCGATGTGGGACAACAATCAATAAAAAAACTAACAATTCTCTACTTTGACTAATTTTGCTCCCACTGCGACTCTTCAATCCAAATCAACTGCCGGCGGTGCCTTCAAATGCGCCTTTTGGCGCCAACTCAAATATGCAGAATGTTGGTCAAGTCTAAACAATGTTCAAACTTGACTGCTGTCACTACCTTGGTCATCATGTCTGCAGGATTCTCCGTCGTCTTGATCTTCTTCAACACAACAGTTTCATCTTCTAGAATCTCCCGCACAAAGTAATAGCGAACATCAATATGCTTCGTTCTTGCATGAAATACTTGATTTTTCGCTAAGTGAATAGCGCTCTGACTATCACAATGCACTAAGATGTGCTTTCGACCAACTCCCAAGTCTTCAAGCAAACTTTGAAGCCAAATAGCCTTTTTCACAGCTTCAGTAACTGCCATATACTCTGCCTCTGTTGTAGACAAAGCAACTGTTGACTGTAAGGTAGACATCCAACTGACTGGAGCTTTTGCAAAAGTGAACAAATATCCAGTCGTTGATCTTCGCTTATCCAAATAACCCGCATAGTCGGAATCACAATATTTAACCACACACTGACCAAATTCATCCTGGTCATAAACTAATCCAACTTCTACAGTACTATGAATGTACCGTAGAATCCATTTCACAGCTTGCCAATGACCTTTACCAGGGTCATGCATATATCTGCTAACAACACCAACTGCTTGTGAAATGTCGGGCCTTGTACTGTTGTACACACCATCGCATACATCAAACTGCCAATTGCATTAGCATATTGGACGCTATCCATGCATTCTCGTTCTTCATCACAATTTAGTGATAACTGGGCACTTAACTTAATATAAGGGGCAAGTGGTGTACTTACAGGCTTCGTCTCATATTTTATGCCGATACGTTGTAGTACCTTATTCAGATATTGCTTCTGAGTCAAACAAAGCTTGCCTTTCCTTCTGTCCCTACTTATCTCCATCCCGAGAATTTTCTTAGCTTCCCCCAAGTCTTTCATCTCAAATCTTGATTCAACTGAGCCTTCAAATGATCAATCTCCACTTAGCTCTTTGATGCAACCAACATGTCATCCACATACAAGAGTAAGTAAATGAATGATCCATCTTGCAGCTTGTGTAGATACACACAATGATCATGTCTGCTTCGTGTGTACTTCTGCCCACTCATAAACTTATCAAACCGTTTGTACCATTGTCTCGAAGATTGCTTCAGTCCGTACAACGATTTGTTCAACTTACAGACCCAATTCTCTTTTACAAGAATTTTGAATCCTTCTGGCTGAGTCATGTAGATTTCCTCATCTAAATCTCCGTGTAAGAATGCCTTTTTCACGTCAAGTTGAGCTAGCTCTAAATCCTACTGTGCTGCTAAGGCCAACAAAATTTTAATGGAAGAGTGCTTAACAACTGGAGAAAACACTTCATTATAATCAACTCCTTCCTTCTGAGCGTAGCCTTTAGCCACCAATCTTGCCTTGTAACGCACATCATTCTTATGAGGAAATCCGAGGAAATTTCAAATTTGGTCCCGTTAGATTGGGACGGTCGCAATTTTAATCCCAAGAAGCGCAATTTCAGTCCTTAACTAATTTTTGTTGCGTAATTGGCCCCAAATCTAACTGACCGTTAAGTCACCGTTTACTCTCAGGACTAAAATTGCAACTGTGGGACTAAATTTGTAATTTTCTCATATTTGATATATATAAAATAACTTTTCATTTTATTTTTATTTTTTATAAATTTTTTTCACCTCTAGAGTTATATTTTTATTTTTTATCAACCACTACAATCATAATAAAATTAAATGATGATTTTTTAAATATATTTATTATTTAATTAAAAATATTTGAAATGTAGAAAACATTGTATTGCAATTAAAATTTTTTAATATATTAATATTAATATAAATTTAAATTTATTTGAATTTATATATATCAAATATATTTAAGTTTATATTTTTTATATTAAAATATATAAATATTTTTTTTATATACCAAATATGAATTTAAAAAATATGAATTAACAAAAAATATATTTGTTATGTATCAAATATGAATTTAAGTTTATATTTGTTATATATCAAATATATAACAAATTATTCAAATATATGATATTTTTGTTATATATCAAATATGAGTTTAATATATATATATATATATACACACACAATTGACCAGTCCGATCAACCAATTCTGACTGGTTCATTGGAAACCAATTCGTTCTAACGAATCCAACCATTTGACCGATTCCAAAAATTAAAAATAATAGTAGTTGATATTATTTTAAAAATAATAATAGTTGATTTTATTTTTATTTTTATTTTTACTTTTATTTTACGTTTTAAAATTTTATTAACCTCTAAACTTATATTTTTATTTTTTATCAACCAATATAATTATAATAATATTAAATATTTATTTTGTATATATATATTTATTATTTAATTAAAAATATTTTAAATACAGAAAACATAATAATATAAATTTAAATATATTTGAATTTATATATATCAAATATATTTAAACTTATATTTTTGTTATATTAAAAAATATAAATATTTATTAACTTATTTAAAAAATATTTATTATTGACCAGTCCATTCAACTAATTCTAACCGGTTCATTGGAAACCAATCCGATTAAAGGAATCAAACCGTTTGTTGACTGATTCTCGATTCAACAACAAGTTTGCCGAACTTTTAAACCAATAGTAGTTGGTATTACTTTTATTTTTATTTATAAATTTTATTAACCTCTAGAATTCTATATTTCTAATAAAATTAAATAATTATTATTTTTTAAATGTATTTATTATTTAGTAAAAATTAATTTTAAATATAGAAAACATTGTATAGTAATTATTATTTTTTTGTCTCAAAACTAAATATTTAATATCAAATATTGTTATATACTCACGGAATAAAAATTGCAACAAAAATTAATATTAAAACTATTTTTTCAATATTTGGGACTAAATTTCCAACAAAACTAATCTTATGGGACTATATTTGCAAGTTTTTCAATATTTGGGACTAATGACAAATGGTGACTTAACGGTCAGTTAGATTTGGGACCAATTACGTAACAAAAATTAGTTATGGACTGAAATTGTGCATCTTGAGACTAAAATTGCGATCGTCTCAATCTAACGGGACCAAATTTGCACTTTCCTCGAGGAAATCCATCTTTCTTTGCAAATACCCACTTGCATCCTATCGCCCTTTTGCCTTTTGGTAGTTGCGTCACCTTCCAAGTCTGATTCTTCTGGAGAGACAACATTTCTTCCTCCATAGCCCTTTTCCACTTTTCATTTGCATCTTGAAAAGTGAAAGGTATGTCATCATCAACAATTGAAAGTGCATAAGCCACCATATCCGCCAATCGAGCAGGTTGTTGAATCTCTCGTCTGGGCTTTCTCAATGGAATGGGTAACTCTAATGATTCTTGAGTCTATACTTCATCATCCGACGAATCCTTTGATATTGGTTCGTCGGTCATAGCTGGTTGTCTCGTCATCGCATTTATCTCCACCTGCTTTGGTGTCAACTCCATCTGTTGGGTTTGCGTCGTCTTTATCATACCTTGTTCATCAAATGTAACTCCCTGCTGAACACAGTTTTGTTTGTCTCAAGACACAAAAGACGATATCCCTTCACGCCAATTGTGATTCCCATGAACAAAGCCTTTCTCGCTCTTGGATCTAACTTTGAATCCTTTACATGATAGTACGTAGGACACCCAAAGACATGTAAAGATTCATAGTCAGCAACAGGTTTCCCCGACCATACCTCCAACGGTGTTTTACCATCTTTTGCAGATGACGATAATCGATTTATAAGGTGTTGCGCGTATGATACAGCCTCAGCCCAGTACTTCTTGTCCAAACCAGCATTGGACAACATACATCGAACTTTCTCCACCAATGTTCGATTCATGCGCTCCGCCACCCCATTTTGTTGTGGTGTCCGTCTAACGGTGAAGTGCCTAACAATGTCATTTTTACGGCAAACTTCTTGAAAGGGATCATTTGTATATTCTCCACCATTGTCCGTTCGTAGGACCTTGATCTTCCTTCCAGTCTGATTTTCAATTTGCGTCTTCCATATAATGAAGACACCAAGCACTTCATCCTTCGTCTTCATAGTGTACACCCAAACACGTCTGGAAAAGTCGTCGATGAAAGTGATAAAATAGCGTCTTCCGCCTAATGATGAGGTCTTAGAAGGTCCCTAAACATCCGAATGAACATAATCCAAGATACCTTCGGTATTATGGATAGTCACTCCAAACTTCACTCTCTTCTGCTTTCCCCGAACACAATGCTCACAAAAGTCTAATTTGCACACTTTGACATCTTTCAACAATCCTTGGTTTGCCAATGTCTGCAAGGATTTTTCACCAGCATGTCACAACCGCATATGCCATAGCTTGACTGCTTCAGACTCCTTGTTGGTGGAATCTGCTACTGTTGCTGTCCCAACAATTGTATCACCTTCATAGTAATACAAGTTATTCCTCCTGATGCCTTTCATCACCACGAGCGAGCCGGATGTAGCCTTCATAACTCTATCTCGCAAAGTCACTACTAAGCCTTTAGATTCCAAGGCTCCTAATGAGATGAGGTTTTTCTTCAAACTCGGCACGTACCGAACATCCGTCAAAACTCTGGTGGAACCATCGCGATTCTTCAAACGGATTGAACCTATCCCGGTTGTCTTACAAGCATTATCATTACCCATATAGACAACCCTCCATTGATCTCCTGAAAATCGAAGAACCACTCCCTTATGGGAGACATATGGTAGGTGCATCCTGAATCCAAAATCTATTTGTCTGGATGAGATGATGAAGGTGAAACCATAAGTGAAAATTCTGAGTCTTCACTTCCACCCTCGGTAACATATGCATCTTGAGGAGATTTGCCTTTCTTCTTCAACTTAGAATAGTCTTTCTTCCAGTGTCCCTTCTCATGACAGAAAGCACACTCGTCTTTTTCAAGCTTGGCCTGGGAACGTGATCTTCCTCGTCCATTTTTCTTTTGGCTCTTTGACCGACCTCTTGTAATCAACGCTTCATCTTCTGCTGCTGCATTCTTTGTCTCTTGTTTGTTCTTCTTCCTCAACTCATAGCTATAGAGAGCAGAACTAACCACTGCAAGAGTAACATCGCCTTCCCATGGAACAAAGTAGTCTCCAAGTGCTCGAAGTCGTCTGGAAGTGATGATAACAACATGAGAGCCAAATCTTTATCGCTGAATGTGACGTCCAAATTCAACAAATCTGCAACCAACTGATTGAATGCAGTGATGTGGTCATTCATCGATGTGCCATGTCGGTACTCAAATCGGAACAATCTCTTCTTCATGAGGAGCTTATTCTGGCCGCTTTTCTTCAGAAATTTATCCTTCAAAGCCTTCCACAAGTGCGAGCAGAATTCTCATTCTTGAACGCGTACTTCTGCTCCCTCGACAAACATGAACGGATTGTTCCACATGCTAAGCGGTTGATATTCTTCTAGTCCTTCTCTTCAACTTCGGTTGGCTTCTCTTCTTCAATGGCAATGTCGACGCCTTGCTGAAATAGGCAATCCAGCACCTCGCCTTGCCACATGCCGAAATGACCGGTCCCATCGAAGATCTCCACCGGGAGTCTGACGTTCGACATCACCGTCCTTGCCGAAATGAATGCAGAGGATGATGCGCCCTTGACCTCCTTGGACATCTCGAACCCGAATGCAGTGCTTGCCTCTTCGAATAAGCCTAGGGCGAACCTTCGGCTCTTATACCACTTGTTGGGGTAGAACACCAAACGCAGCGGACAAAACTACCCCTCCAACAAATATGACAAGCACTACTCCAAACGAAAATAAGCTAAATAAAAGACGAGAAAGAAAAAGAACACAAAAATTGATAACGGAGTTCGGCGAAAATAGCCTACGTCTCCGGGCACCGCCAACCGCAACGCCAAATTTACTAAACTCACCAACAAAATACAACTAGGGTTAAATAACCCACAAATTAGGATTTCCTTAATTAAGGATTTCCTTCTAAGAGAGGAGAGAATAGAATAAGGTGCAATTGTAACTCAAAGGTAAGGGACCTATTTATACTAATAAGATCCTACACATCTTTGGTATACATTCGATGTGGGACAACAATTAATCAAAAAACTAACATGCACATCCAGCCTTAATTTAGTCTATAATTAAGAAATAGTTGTCTTTTTGGGTACGACCTAAAATATTTGCAAACAATGAAGACTACACATATGTACATGTGCTATAATTTCTAAAAGTAGGTTGAAATTACTTCACATGAACCCATGCCAAAATCAAGAGTACCACAACATGATTTGATATGCAACAATCACAACAAATGTCAAAAGTAAGTTTGGATTATCATTAAATCCTAGAAGTTGTGTTCAAAAGCAAAAGATTAACATTGACCAAATTATGTACCAAATCCAACAATATAAAGTTGTACTAAATTTCATCCCTAAAAGCAATTACTTCCGTTCCATCATGTGGTAAACTCACAAAGTGAACCTTCAATGATGTAGACTAGCGTGAAATTTGTTAAGCGAAACTGAAGAGTATATTAAAAAGCCGAGAGCCTCCCTATCTTCAAATTCCATCAGAAAACTCAAGCAAGTGAAAGTTTGAGCGGTCCACCATCTTCTCGGCAGCAACTGCCTTTCTTTCCCCTGTTGAGTTTGCCTTTTCCGCCACGGCGCTTCCCCTCAGATTTGGCGGTTCTGGTGTTGCTTTACGACGGCACTCCGGTGGTGAGGGCAGGGCGACGGGTCCAGTCCATCGGACTTCCGGTGAGCAGGATTGCGGCCGACACCAGCTCCTCCCCCTATTTTGCCACATCTCCTGAGGTTAGAGATGGGGCTTTACGTCCTGTTGGAGCCTTCGGCCAGTTTCTAGGGCTTTTGTCAGGGTTCTGTGGAGGTAGGGGTTGGTGTGGGCCTCCGGGTGCGGCTTCGAGTTGGCCTTCGGCTCGTTTGGAGTGGATCTATATTAGCCCGTCATCTTTGGGTGAAGGAAGTGGATAGATTGCGTCCGAGCTTTGGCTTGTCTTGAAGGTATCGTCGTCGGTTCTCGTATTGTGCGGTGTTGTATAGGGGTGGTTGTCNGTCTTATTGCGAGTGCGCTGTGGTAGTCTAGACTGCCATTTGGGTTGTCCTTTCACTAGATTCAACTAAGTGGCTGGTTGGCTATTTTTTGCTGTTGTCTAGATGTAATTATGTGTTTTTTTTATAAAATTTCTATCGTTCCAGAAAAAAAAATGTTTTATTTCGCTGGATACCATAATCCCCCTATATATAATTCTCGAATGTGCTGAGCCTAAGTGGCGACTCGCATGCTTCGGGATCCTATGTGGCAAATTTCTGAGCTTTGTTGTTTGGCTTGAGTGAATTTTAATTTATATTCAATCCAAAAGTAACTAGGCTCTAATATCCATAAATATACTAGATATTTATGGTCCCTTCTTAATAGCATTAATTATGTTTTAATATTATTTTCTATTGTAGACATAATTTACAAGATATAATTTTTTTTTCCAATCTTTATTTTAAAATTATAACAAATTTACTAATTTAAATTATAAATATATTTAAAAGTTAATAAATTTTTTATTTATTAACAAATTATTATTATAATATGTCAAATTAATCATATTTTGATGAGGTTCGATTTGACATTTTTATTATACATACAAAATAAATAAAAAAATTTAATTATCTTTATAATTAAAATTAAATTACTTATTAATGTTGATTTAAAAAAAAAATTATTTAAACTAACTTAACTACATTGTAGTTATCTCATATTGTATTAATTTTTACTTTTTATTAAACCGGAAAAGCCGTCACAGCTATTCATACCACCGTAGATTTCATGAGATCAGATCACCTGTAAATTGGATTTTAGCCCCATTCTTTTTTGTTTTGTTATTTTCGTTTACTCCAATCCAAAAATATAGAGGAAAATAATGCAGCTTCATCTCCAGCAGACGCAGAAGCAGTTTCTTACACTGCATAATTTTCATGGTGCTCGTCCCCTCAAGCTCTTACCCACGGCCATGGCCACGGCGGCCTTGCCCCCTCCTCTATCCAAACTCACTCGCGTTTCTTTTAATTTACCCGCAAAATCCAACTCCCGGTTGTTGCCCTGCAGATTGAAAGGAGATTCAGATTCAGGTCAATTCTCGTTTTTTCTTCTAGTTTACGGGTTCTTACAGTGGAAGATTGTTTTCTTTTCCTTCGTCTTTTGATAAGGAATTTTACTTGTTTGTGGGATTTTTGTAGTTAAGTTTAAACTGTTCTTCGGGACAGTGGATTTAGGTCAGGTTCTAGGATTGTGTTTGAAACTTTACTCCGAATTTTCTCCGGTTAAGATCTCTTAAACTAAACAACCCGCTCATCAGCTCGGCTCGTTTAGTTGAGGCTTGAAAATAAAAAATTTATTTAAGCCTCGTTAAGACTTGCATTTGGCTCATTAGACTCGAGTTCGGCTCATTAACGAGCTTGATAATGGCTTGAGCTCGAGCTGGCTTGACTCGTTTACATCCCCAGGACGTGAATGTGTAAATTGTTAAAATTTCTTCTACACAATTTACCTGAATTTCGCATATCTGAAAGGTTTGTTAATCCTTTTAGAGATATAACTAACTACAGTGTAGGAATTGTTGTTTCAATTAAATTCTCCAATGAGAGTTCAATATTATTTCACTTAGACATGATATCACAGCTGGAAATTGGGAAAGCCAACATCACAAGGAAACCTGAGAAGCGTGTCAATGGCGTTTTCTGGATTCTGCTTATTAATCTTGGCATATATTTGGCAGATCATGTTTTCCAGGTTTGTACTTAAGTCCTTTCTTACAATACAATCATGTTTATCTTTTACCGAACAAGAGTCTCTCTCTCTCCCTTTTTCTTGTCAATGTATAGTATAGGCACCTGAAGTTCAAAAATATATGCTGTTCGTTGATGAATTTCGCGTTATTAGTAATTTTCTTTCTGAAAATATCACTTTTCATATTCAGGTGTATTACTTGAAAGTTGAATACGAACCAATCTTGTTAACTTGTTTTTTAAAAGCTCATTATTAATTTTGTTCTATTCTACAGGTTCCATTGATTAAGGAACTGTATCTATACCATAACCAGCCTGCTTGGTACCAGTTTATAACTGCTACATTCTGTCATTTTAATTGGTAAGCCTTTTAATTTTCTGTTAGCGAACACTCCCGGAATTAGGTTTACTGAGCTTGTCGATTGCTTTTCAGGAGCCATCTTTCGAGCAACCTGTTTTTCTTGTATATTTTTGGTGAGTGTTTCGTTTCCCTTGTTTCTCTAAATCGTTTGCTTACCCGGACAGTTGGACATGTCAATTAGATACTTTCTTGTTCCTTTTTTCTTTCTTTGTTTTTTTCTTTCTTCAGGAAAACTTGTTGAAGAAGAAGAAGGAAATTTTGCTCTTTGGCTTTCGTATATCTTGACAGGAGCTGGGGCGAATCTCGTCTCATGGTTAGTTCTTCCTAGAAATGCAGTATCTATCGGAGCATCGGGCGCCGTTTTCGGACTCTTTGCTGTCAGTGTCCTGGTGAAGGTACATTAATGACTTCAGATGCTATTCTTCTTCTTNTATTTTTCTTTTCCTGGGGGGAAATTATTTTGGCAATGGATCTCCGTGTGAATAGCTTCACATGATTTAGATATACTGAAACTCCTCATATTTAGAAGTTGTCAACTTTTTCTGTGGTCAGATGTCATGGGACTGGAGGAAGATCCTTGAGGTTCTGATATTGGGCCAATTTGTTGTAGAGAAGGTAATGCTTCAAAATACTTCTTGAAACCTGTGCTTATCTGGAGATGGTATATTTTTCTTCATAACTAGGATTTGCTGGGATAATGGAATTTATAAAAAATTATGGATATTTTTCTCCGTAAGAGTGACAATGAGGTCATGTATAATTTGTGCTTTTCATAAATGTGAAGGGAGTTTGGAATTGTCTTTCTCTTATGATTAAGGGGGCTACACACAAACTAAAATTAATTCTTGGTGATGGGTTTTTGTAATCTGAAAGACTGGTTTGTTTTATAATTAGGTAAAACCTCTAAGACACGCAAATTCATAAGCCTCTCGGTCGAGATTAGAAAGAGTGGCTTTTAGTGTTTCCAAATGCCAATCATGCTTCAAACTATTCATTGTTATCAAGAAGATTACCGAAAGTTGAATTCTGAACTCCTGTTGTCTAGGTTTCAACTTTCAACTATAGTTCTCTTTATATATAACAGGTGATGGAAGCAGCCCAAGCATCAGCAAGCTTAAATGGAAGCTTCAAAGGAGGTTTTGCTCTGCAGAATGTGAACCACATTGCGCATCTCTCGGGTGCCCTTATTGGCGTCTTTCTAATATGGCTCCTTAGCACTGTTCCTTCACCAACTGATGATAAATGATGTTCGATTTGACTAAACTCTATTTTATTTGTACTTTTTTTCATATGAATACATGCATATAGAGAGGTCTGACACTGGTTTGACGATTAAGATCTTTATGGCATTGTTTTGTGTTGTATCAGTCAGGCCTCATTTGGTTCATTGGATAAGATATCATACTTGTTTACATTGATTAGGGCCCATAGGAAATATCCCTATACCTGGAATGAATTGGGATACAATCCTTGGAGAAGTGGTGAAATAATCCACCACAATTTGAGGTCATTATTTGTACCACCCCCATAGTTTTCATTTCTTGGGACATTAATATTCCTGAACGGCTGCACCTTCAGCGCCACAAACTTCTCAGAAATGGGATTGACTTCTCCTATCATTTTGTGGGAGAAGAGATGTAGAAAATCGCTGCAATCTCAGCTAATTGAGTTTTTCCAAAACAACCTCGACGTCTTAGCATGGACCCATGAAGACATGAAGAGGATTGACCCTAATGTTGCCCTGTCATCGGCTTAACATTGATAAGAAAATTCAGCCGGTGATATAGAAAAGGCGAAAGTTGGGGCCAGATCGACAAAACCTTGGAGCAAAAAGTGTCGAAACTAATCGATAACAAGTTCATTCGGGAGGTACTTTATCCGAAATGAGTCGCAATCCCCGTTCTGAAAAGTCTAATGAGTAATGGAGGTCATGCATCGACTTTTACCGATCTGAACTAAGTATTTCCTAAACAATCAAGCTCTTAATTAAACCTTATACTCTTTTTGAGTTCTTCAATTTTATTAATATAATTATAGTTTGAGAAAATAAAATATTTAGGGCCAATCAAGGGCTCCTAGACCACTCACCTCGACGTGTAAGTCGAATTAAACGTGCCAAAAATTCGACCCAAACCATCGAAATTCCAAAACAACCCATTTTTTATTCCGTCCAGAGAGATAGAGAGAGAGAGAGACTGTGTATGTGCTGACTACAGATTGTGTTCTGTTATTATCAATACAGCGCGACTTTGTACGGCGACCAACAATCGCAATCGAGTATTTTGGAATAAGAAAAACAAACAACGGAGTGTTAGATGTGAATCGAGAATTGAGGCATGTTGAGGCTTTGGAAATGGTACCAGAATTGTTTGGCCACGCATCCGGTGAAGACACAGGTTATTAGCTCCGCTTTCATTTGGGGATTTGGAGACATTGCAGCTCAGGCCGTCACCCATTCCACTGCCAAAACCAGCCATCTGCACAACCATGTCCGTAATTACCTCTACTCCTTTTATTCTTGCCTTCTATTCTCTGGACTTGAGATTTTATAAGGTTTGGCACTGGGTTTTTTTTTTTTTCAATATGTTTATCTGGAAATCTTTCTGCCTCTCTCATTATTTGTGCAATTGTTGTGTCTGCTGTGAGAATCGCGAATCAGGATGAGAAAATCATTATGAGAACACCCAAATTCTGGTTCCTTTTTGGTATAATACATTGGTTCTTAGCTGATGCTGGTTGCAGAGTTGGTTAATGTGGTTGTGTTTTGATTACAATGTTTTGCATTTAAGCATTCCTGTATGTGTGAAGATTAGTGGATCAATAGTTTTTGTAACTGGAGAAAGTTTTGATGATACTCTTTGCTTATCTGTAGTTTCTATCTGTTTCCTGGAATGCCTAATCGAGGAATTGCAGTTAGAATATCTCGAGGGTACTTGTTTTTAGTTTATTTCCTCAACCATGACAGAGTTTGAGGTTGTTCATATATATTCGCTAGCTGCTTGTGTAAGATTTTGATTTGGAGCTTTTAAAACTCTAAATAATCAATATCTTCAACTGGACTGTGATAAATTAATATGCCGGAGAAATGAGATTACTCTTTGTGCCGGGTCTTCATTTAGTCACAAAGGATTATAATTTTATCAACCATTTCAAGAAAGCGGTAGAAATGGCTTTGTCTTATCTAGTTTTCATTCCATTGAATGACTCATAAACATGTGTATTGCAATTTAGTGTGGGATGAGTCATTTGTTGCTGTTTTTCATTTCTCCTCTCCGATTTTAGTATTAGTTAGATGCTTGGGAATTTGGTTATTATGTGTTTTGCTTTCGAATTGATTTTCACCTATATTATTTCACTTCATTCGATAATAGATCGTCCAGGATGAAGATAAAGAACTTCAAATCAATTGGAAGCGTGTTGCAACCACGAGTTTGTTTGGCCTGGGATTTGTTGGTCCGGTTGGGCACTTCTGGTTAGTATACCTTTGTCAACTGCGGCATTTCAGAGTCTTAAGATGAACGGTTGATAGAATTACTTCTATGATACTCAGCACAAAATTTGCATCTGAGAGTTATTGTTTTATGGTTGATCATAAACTATTATCGCTTGGAGCACCATGCTCGATTTTACTTTTAAAGTGTAGTGTGGACTGTGGAAGAATTGTTCTAAAGAGAGAAGAAATAAAACTTTGAAACTGTGATTACAAAGGAAGCAAAATGTATCTTGAAGTTTATGTAATGATATTTTAGTAAAATAGCTATTTTGACTTGATTGGAAATTGTAAGAGATAGAGTTAGTATTTGTGATATGTAAGTCATAATTTTTCCTCTTTCTTTCTTTCTTTCTTTGAAATTACACTTGGATTTTGATAATTGAAAAATGCGATGGAGTGTACATAATATTTGCTTCAAAACACTTTCACGAGAAACCGTTTATTGGATTTTCCTTAACGAAAATGTACAGAAGTTTTTCTCATTCAATCAGATTGCCGGATTTTCAAATTTAATAAGCTTTTGATATGAGCAAACTGGTCATAATCTCTCATTCCCCGTAGGTATGAAGGTCTGGACCGATTCATTAGGTCACGGCTAAAATTCCGGCCAAATTCCTTCCGTTTTGTCGGCACAAAAGTTGCGGCAGACGGCATAATCTTTGGGCCGCTTGATTTACTCGTTTTCTTCACTTACATGGGGTTCTCGACCGGAAAAACCACCGCCCAAGTCAAAGAAGATGTGAAGAGAGATTTTTTACCTGCCCTGGTTTTGGAGGGAGGTGTTTGGCCAATAGTTCAGGTGGCCAATTTCCGATTTGTTCCTGTTCGGTATCAGCTTCTTTATGTCAACTTGTTTTGTTTATTGGACAGCTGTTTTCTCTCATGGCTCGAGCAGCAGGAGGATGCTGCTTGGAAGCTGTGGTTCAAGTCGTTAGTATCATTGGAGAAAAAAGAAGATAAAGGTGGGTAGATTTTTACCATTTTTTCAGCCCTAACTTGATGGTTGTGAGCTGGTGGAACATAAAATAGCTGCACAGCTTCTGCAATTGAAATTTGCTTTTGGAATTTGAATTGGGTATTTGCGATAGCATGCCGCCCGGAATTAGAGTTCATTAGTGATGAAGTGTGTACGCATGTATTTGTTTGATCTCCTAATGAAGAGTATGAGAAGTCATTAGAATTCCGATTCGAGAACAATCCTCCAATTTTTTCCTTTTCTCAAAATTAGTTGCATTAATAATTGTTCAATGAAAAGGAACTGGGGAGCACTTGGTCTGTGCATTTCTTTTCCTTCATTTTTAATGTCTCCGTTGAACAAAAAAGTAAGAGGGAATACAACAAAGATCTCTAAATTTGTGTTGTTAGAGCATCTACAATGCATTGGGTCTAGTCTTGCCTATGTGACATGTAAATAAACTCAAGTCTTGTATGACATGGATAAAAACTATGTAAATGAGAAAATTACTCCCTACACCATAAATTTCAGTTTTTATTACAAGATTAAACATCTATTATAAATATTAACAATTCTACCTAAAACCATGTTTTTATTTGTAGGTATACAATAAATTAATGTAAGCATTAATTACATATTTTAAAGAAACCTATCAGTTTCTCTCTCCCAAATCACGTCCCTTTCTCCTTATCTCTCTTCTTCGTCTCTCTTCCCATCCCTCTATCTTCTTTTTCGTTATCTCACCGCCTCATCTCTCTCTCCCTCTGTCAGTGACCCATTATCCTCTCCCCCTCCTTCTCTCTTGTTTTTTCACTTGTGATCTGCGCAATCATTGAAATTGACTGATTTTTGTAGACCCAACGATGTACAACGGAATAAGTTTGCAGACCCATCGGAGCTCCAGCACCAGCGGCCACGTTCAGGATAATGTCTTCACCGTGAAGGCGAGGACAAATAGAGTCGTCACCAATCCGAGCAAGGATTTCAAATCGGGCCAAGGGGCCGCGGGCGCCCAACAGGGAGATACTGGAGGACGAACGCAAGAAGCATATATATCGAAACTTTTGATTATGTTAAGTATATGCTACGTATATAACTTGATTATGTTATGTATATGTGCATGAATGATATACTTATAGTTGTTTTCAAGACTGTGTATATGCGATGTTTACATATTAAGTATATGACACGAATATATTATGTATATGTACATGAATAATATACTTACAATATCCCGAGTTTGTAACTCTGTAGTTGTTTTCAAAACTGTATGTGCGATGTTTATATATTGTATATATTTTGCAGCATTAGTTCATCAAAATAGTTTGATTTCGACAAAGAAATAAAAAATCACATTTAACCAGGAAATTTACTGTAAATATACAGAAAAAAATACGGGGTTTGTTTTGTATATATCACATTAAACTAGAAAATATCAAATAAACATACAGAAAAAAAAGAGATGTTAATAACACAAAAAATAAGTAAAAGAGAATTTCAAAAACAAAAATTACCAGGTATAATACGTATATTTTACGAGCTTATATCATCAAGATATAATGATATTCCATCGTGTTGCTTTCAGTATCGTTAAAATGTGATAATGTTTGAAATTCAATATATATATATATATATATATATATATGTATATATTTCAATTTTGAATTGAACAACATCCTAGATATTAGGATATACACTTACCATATATTTATACTTTTTCTTTTAATGCGAAAACTAAATCCCATTATGTCCGCAAATTAAGGAAGGGTGATCTTTTCAATTTTGGTAACCGATATGTTGCATTATCACAAATAAATGTCATTCATTTGATAATGATGCAATAAAAATTTATCTGCTCGTATGATTGCAATTAAGCTCAATTCGCTGTGTAGATGTAAAATTTACCCATTTTTGTTTGTACTTGAGAATATATTTTTTTTAGACTGGATATATTTCTTAGGTGGTAAATAATTTTTTGAGATTGAACCCAAAACATTGTGGATGCTCTAAGAGTGGATCGCTCCTTGACCAACAAAGGTAATCCAGTGCAAGAACGTCTGGACTATTAGTTCTTCTAGCTCCTTAGCCCGTCCTAGTTCTCAGTAAAAACCCACAACTCGTTTGGTGACATCTTTGTTAATTAAAAAATTACATGTAGTAAAAACTTAACATCGGTTCAAGCCATAAAAAGATCTTTTTTTTCCCCCCAACAATAACAAAATATATTGCAAACCTCAAAGACTGTTTTACAACGATAAAAAAATTCTTTGTTGATAGTGTTAAACTTTGATTAATATTTGCCCACAATTTATAAATAAAAAATGTGTAGGATCTTTTTAATATAAATAGGCATCTTGCCTTTTAAGTTATAATTGTACCTTATTCTCTTGGTTAATTTACATACTTATTGTTACTAACGATCTTAATATCATTTTTATGGCCAAATAAAAGATTTATCATATCGGGTTTTATGGAGACAAATAATATCAATGATACGAATTCAATTTAATCGCAAGAATCTCGCAATCTCTCATCAGTTTAGTCCTTCTCTGTAACAGACGCAATTAATCCTTTATTTTCAAAGCCCACCTTCTTTCCGATCTCATCGGCTTGTTTTCTGCTTATGAGATAAACCCTAATCCCCAATCGTACCATCTCTTCTTCAGAATCTTGTTTCAAACTCTCGCCCACATTGAGAATGTCGAGAGCTTTGAGACACCCGAGTCGATTTTCACTGACATGATCACTTTGTACGGCGATGTTCGTATGTTTGATGATGTTGTTGAGCTCTTTTATTTACAACTGCAGAGGTGATGAAAATAGGATTGAAGAGTCAACCTTTGAGGTTTTAATCAAAGCCTCCTGCAAAATCAAAATTTCGAATAATGCTTACGATTTGCTAAATCATTTTGTGGGTGAAAGTTTCGGTGTTGATCGAAAAATCTTTTCTTTGATGCTAACTAACGTATATGTTCTGTAGATTATACCAAAAATATAAAAATTATATTGAACAAAAATTATTATATTGTTCTGTTTCACTAACGTATATGTTACGTACACTACACCCTAAATCATAATATTGTTCTGTTTAACTAACGTATATGTTAGGTACGCTACACTAGACCGTGCAAACAAGTTGGTTGTGATGGCTGCGGGGTTGCGTCAGACGAACAAAAATGTGAATGAACTGCTCACCGGAAGCGTCGAGGTTTATTGTGTTGTTTCCTCTCACGCTTTGTCTTACACTGTGCTTTTCTATTGGAGTTTTGAGCTCAGTGACTTATGACGTAGTAGGGAGCCTAAACCAACATATGCGGCATGGGCCAATAGAGAGATACTTGGCAGCATCAATGGTGAAACTTGGAGATTTGGAGAAGATAGAAATTTGCATAGAGATGTAGGAGAAATTATGGTAAAGAGGAATATACACGCCGTGAAATTTGGTAGATATTTATCAGTTTTTAAGAAAATGAATAAGAAAGTATATTTGGTAACCAACCTTTAGCCATATTTAATATAGTAACCGATATTTGAAAGTTATTGATATTCTTAATATTAATTCTATCTACTCGTACTTTTAAAAATAAGATTCAATTGAGTGGTAAGAGGAGTAAATTTCTCTATTCTCTTCCCTCATATTTTAGAAGGAAATCTTTAATTAAAGAAATCATAATTTATGAGTTACTTAACTCTAGTTATATTTTATTGGTGATTTTAGTGAATTTGGCGTTGCAGTTGGAAGTGTCCGGAGACAATAGGCAATATTGGTCGAAACCTGTTGGCAACGCATGGAGAAAGTAGACAATATTGGTCCCCGGTAGAAACAAAAGACTTTAGTTATTTGATTCTAAGCCGCAGTGTCCGGAGACAATAGACAATATTGGTCGAACCCTGTTGGCAATGCCTGGAGACAGTAGACAATATTGGTCCCCGGTAGAAGCAAAAGACTTTATTTATTTGATTCTAAGCATCTTGTCTGAAGGTTTTCTAAGAGAAATGTACCCCGTTATGAATTTTGTATGACTTATTTTCGTTAGTAATAGTGTCCGCTATTATTTTTGTGGGGGTGCTTTTATCCGGTGCACTTGTTATGATACCCCAACAAGTTGTATCAGAACCGAAGGATCGTCCTATTCGGTGAGGCGAGCAATGCATTAGATTTCGAGATAGCCAAGGATATCAAAGGCGCATCATCCTTTGCACTCATTCCGGTGATGTTGAACGTTAGACTCCCGGTGGAGATCTTCGATTGGACTGGTCATTTCGGCATGTGGTAAGGCGAGGTGTTGGATTGTCTCTTTTAGCATGTCAACATTGGCATTGAAAAAGAGAAGCCAGATATTTTTGGCGAGAAAGACTAGAAAAATATCAATCGCTAAGCATGTTGAACAATCCGTTTGTTTGTCCAGTGAGCAGAAGTACGCGTTCAAGAATGAAAACACTGCTCACATTCTGTCGATTGCTTTGGAGGATAAATTTATGAAGAAGAGTTGCCAGAATAAGCTCCTTATGAATAAACGATTGTCCGGTTTGAGTACTGGCATGGCACATCCATAAATGTTTGTAGGTTTTAGCAGAGTCGATCGAAATATCTACCTCAGGTCGTCTTTTCAAGGAAGGTTGTTCGGAGCTTTGTTTACTACTAGTCGTCAAACCACAAAAAGGAAAAATTAATGTCCTAAACGTTCTAGCAAGATTGTTTGATTGATTTTAGCTACGTTAACCTGGGAAATTGAAAACAATTAACTAAAGATGTAAACTTTAACTAAAGATTCAACTCTGCTAGCACAGAGTCTCCAGTCTCCACAACTCAAATGAAAACAAAAACAAAGCACAGAAATATCTGAGTACTAAGATCTTAGGATGTTAAAATGATTCTTCTAACCTAAATGATTAAGCTTTCAACAAAGTCTCAACCTTCAATATTAGATAAGGACGCAATTAACTCATAATTATCTTAGACAAGCAAGAAAAACAAAAATATCCAAACATTACCCAAATTCTCAAGCAAGACACCAATTTTATTTTAAAATGCCCAAATACGAAGTAATGAATCTTAAAAATCAAGTACTCACACTCTTATTGCATGCTCAAAGAAAATCACTGTAAAAAAATTGAAACTTGCATAAAAACGGCATTGCTAGAAAATCTTGGAGCTCCAAACATAAAAAATAGAGGAAAAAAGGTTGTTTTCTAAGTTGAAAAATGAGAAAATAAATATTAATATCCAAAATACAAAGGAACAAATGTATTTATAGTCAAAGGCATACACACACTAGAAAAATGCACATTAAATAAGCAACAATCGCATTCTAGCTAAAATGTTCATTGGTCCGCGAGTTTGCAGGCAAACCCACGCACAGCACTTGTGTCGCCGCTAACTGGGGTGCTGGCTCGCGGGTGATGGGACTCGGCGACAAGCGTGCTTGTTGTGCAGTATATCTCGTCGACGTCGCACATGCAGGCAGAGGACAGGTTATAAACGTGCGGTAGAAGTTACAAGGCTTATTTTCTATCTTATTGTTACCTTTTTTATCTATTACTTTTTTAAAAATATTATTCTTAGAGACTGAAATTAATTAATGGACTTGTAGTGATGGATGTAGTGTAAATGTGATTACATTTTCCAGTTACATGGCTTATTGTCTATATCTTATTGTAACCTTTATTATCTACTAATTTTTTATTTCTTTTTTTTTTGTAAATTTTTAATTTCTTTTATTATATGTTGTAAGCATTGTAAAAAAATTCAAATATTATAGGGCTAAATTGCTAAAAAAGTTAATTATAAGACACATTTAACAGTACAGATATTTATGAGGCAGTTTAATCGGTTCGGTCCTCAATACGAATATTTATAAAATCTCTATAACAATACATATTTTTTTCTTTTTTTCTTTTTAATTCATTTTGGGAACCAAACGGTCAATAATTATTTTTCGATTTGGAGTGATTTTCAGTTCAATTTTTTAAATTTGTGCGGTATTCCTCAAATCCTCTAATATTAAGTTATTATTCCTATAGATTGCCGCATGAGTAATCTTCCCCTGCGTGAAAGGTATGCGTACCTATGCCTATGTCATTGGCTAAAATAATATGGTGTTTTTTAGAGCATTTTGAAAGTTTAGGATTCTATGTAAATGGCTATAGTTACAAGGATTTTTTTTTTTTTTTTTGTTACTACCTTTGTGATTTACTTGAGAATTATTAAGATCAAGTTTGCACAACTAAGCTTATGCTAATGGCTACAATAACATGGTCTTTTTCGTAACATTTTCAAAGTTCAGGATTATATATGTAATTAAATGGCTATAGTTAGTTACAAGGATTTTATTTTTTTTACTACCTTTGTGATTTACTTATTAAGATCAACAAGTCTATCTTTACCTTTCGACATGTAGTCGTATACTCTCGTTTGCCGTATCTTCTCGTTTTCATGTTTCCACTTAAGGAACTCCTGGGTTTAAGTTTTGAAAAAATTGAATAATTCTCGAAAAATATTTTTTTGTTTTAATATTTCCACTTAAGGAACTCCTAGGTAGTCTTTAGGTTTTAAAAAAAATTGAATAATGCTAAAAAAATATTATTCATATGCATACAAGTATATATAGCTATTTTTTTAGTTCTTTTTTTTTATTTTTTAAATTTGGTGTGATTTCGGTCCAAACAAAAACGATATATAATAAGTATTTTCCAATGATACAGATCTGGAGAAGTTGTATGAGAAATAATTTCAATGTTTTTCGTAATTAGACTAAACATGGGGAGTATTTTTGTAATTGGGTAAATTGCAATCTCAACATTCAGACTAAGGAGTAATTTTAAAGTCGGCCCCACATTCACACTAGATAGATTTTAGTACTTTAACTATGAAACAACTCGCGACTTTCGTACTCTGTCGTTAATTGTCCGTTACACTAACATAAAATATCATACCTGGCACAAAAAAAATCAATACTGAAATTTTATTTACCGTTTGTAATTTATTTAAAAAGAAGTGATTTATAGTGAAAACTTAACCTACTTGCAGATGACACTATTTAATTTTCTCTATGTAGTGTTGAAAATTGCTACATGTGTGTAAACCAAAACACAATCGAATGCATAACCTTATACACCACACGTAAGTAAATTAATAGCCAATACTTAATAAAAAATGTCAATAATGAATAAAAATATTCCTAGTAACTACCTCAATAATTAAAGGGATCCCGCTAAATAAGAAAGAAATTCCATCAAACTTCCATTTTACACTAAACTAGTACAAACCCCGTGCGATGCACGAGGCAATAATTATAATTGCATGTGTTAAAGCAACGAAAGAATATTGATTAGTATAAAAATAGTTTTGAATATTAATAATTATTTTTTCTTTTATTTTATGGACCTTTTTTAATATGCTTAGAAACATTCCTATTAAGATTAAGAATTATCTAAATAATAATCTAGGAAGGGAAAAAATGGCCAATAAACTTTAATTGCAAAATCCTCAATTTTGATCTTAGACAAAACATCGACATTAGGGATCAAAATACTCAAATTCTTACTAAGAATTTGAAACAAATTTCTAAAACTAAAAAAGATGTTACATAATAATTGAATAATCTTTATTTCATTACCATTTTAGATCATGTTTATAATTAAAGATAATAAAAATTTAACATATTCAAATATTATCAATAAATAATACTCACTGAATACTTCTCTCCCTCTATATTTTCTTACGCATACCTTGTTGCAAATATTATTTCGATTTGTATATAAGTTACGCTAACTTTGAAAAATTGTGATCAATATTATAACCTGCACATAATTGAAAAAAATTTAATATATTTATTCTAAAGTTAAAAAAATATTAATTTTAATTTACAATCAATATTATTATATTTTTTTCTTTATTATAGTATTTTAAATTTTCTTTATAATATTACAAAAAATTATTGTGATTTCTTATTTAAATATTTCTTATAATTGAATCTTTTATCAACATTAATAAAAAAATCATGATGGTTTCTTATTCATTTGGGCAACACTGTGATAAATATCATAATAAAATTTTCATAATTGATTTTCAATTTTTATTTTGTTGTTATATTTGCAATCAAATTGTGCATATTCAAATAAATTTTTTAATAATGAAATAAATTTAACATATGTTTTTTGAAGACATGTATGGTTGGTTACCAAAGGAATAAGAAATTGTTGTGATTCGCAACTACGTCGATTTTTTATTGCGATAATTATCATAAAATAATTTTCAAAATTGATACCACTTTATTTATATAGAAAGTCGTGCTATTTAGTATATTGCACGCTTTACAACAGATAGGAAAAATTTAATTTTTATTTTTTTTATAAATAATAAAGTAATTTATTTAATTACAAAATAAAGTTACTATTTGAGATTATTCCATCAACCTCTTTCAATATATCAATACGTAGCTCGTGCGATGCACGAGACAATAGAAGTGAATGAATATTAGTATTCGAAACTATTTAAAGTAATGAATGAATATTGAGTAGTGTAAAAATAGTTTCGAATACTAATATTAATTTTATCTTTTTATAAAAAAACTAAGGATTTATTATATATAATAATTTAAAAGTTACCAAGAATGTTTAAACTACTTATAACGGAAGTTGTTCCATATGGCGTGATATTACATGTATAATGATATATTTTGATCCCTACAATTATATATGCTCCCTAAACAACTATATAAATTAGATGTCCTTGGTACATATGGCTTGATATTATATTAATATTGATATATTTTAATCTCCTACAATTATGCTCCCTAACTAACTATATAAATTAGATGTCCTTGGTATATATAATGTATATATAATGATGGCCTTTCAATTCGGAAAGAATAAGTTTAGCACTATCCACCTCCATAATTCAACGTTATCCTTCCACTTTTTTGTTAAGAAAATGATTTGAATAATGTTCTCAAAAACTCAATTTTTCAATATTGCACATGTTATTTTAACAATTTTCCTAGATTAGTAAGTCAAACTTACTATAAAGATATTTTTCCAACAACCTTTATATATATATATATAGATCGGTTTGGTTGGCATTATTGGCCTTGATATCCCCTTCGTTGTTTAGCAATCAAAACGTTTAATATGTTTGGTTGGTATGTCATAGCCTGTGAAATAGAGGAAGGCCCGCATCTTTTTTCCTCTAATTGGTATTACGGTATCCCACAGTGGACAAAGGATGCCATATCCTTCTTTTCATCTTAAAAGCTAAAATTACGTAAAGACCTCGAAATATATAATGAAAATTTCTGACGCGAGTCTACAGTACTCATTTCTTTCTCGTCGATTTTATTTGGTGGAAAAAAACCCTAGTTTCATGGTAGATCTCCGAAATTGGTTGAAAGTGCTGATGAGGGAAAATTAATCCCAGAGTACTAAGCGCAAGCCAACTCATCGTGTTCACCTGAGAAATTGAGAGAGGCACATAGAGAAATACATGTGCAATCTGAAGACACTTTCATTAGTAAGAGGAGATGGAGTAATTTGGCCACCAGATGCCGTTCGTCGAAGGCGGTAATCCGGCTTCGACCTTTGTCAACGGTAGAGCCTCCCCTCGAATCTCGTGTTGGAGTTTCTCTAATCAAGCAACTACGAGGATGGTTCCTGTTAGGAGATTTTGAAGAAGCTGGACATCTCGTATGTTCTCTCTCTCTCTTGTGAATTTGTGTGATTATGTCCAGTCTTCTTGTTTTGTTATTGGTTTTTATGTAGGTATAAGTTTATATGGGTATATATGTATAAATTGTTAAATAACTTGATGGATTGTATCAGATTTGTTCTTCATCTACTGAATTATTTTCCTGCAAGCTTCAATGTTTCTAGTTAGTCTAATAACGAGCTTTTTTTCTTCAAAGTAATGCATGAAGATTTTAACTTTTTGGTGGATATTGGTTGTATGTGCAAATGGGATTCGGAAGGATCCTGAGTCGGAGCCCGATTGTGAAAATGAGGAGATGGAGGATTTGGAAGCTCTACCAATGGATGTGACACGGTTAGGGTTTTTGTTAAGGCGGAGAGGGAAGCGGAGTCATTTCACGTCCTTCAAGTACAATGGTCTTCATTATCAACTAGTAAGCCTTTTTTATTTGAGTGTCTTGATGTCTTTGAATGGTTATGGGTTATGCTAGCTTTGTATTACTTTTTAGAGGAAATTCTTTGCAGCAAGGATTTGACTTCGGACTCATCGGTGTTTTGTGTTTTAGCGATTCTTTCTGTTCATTTTCTGGATGTTCTAGAGTTCTTTGACCTAGTTTTGTTCTTATTTTGTTAGTTCTTGGCAATTTATCTATTTGTGCCTTGATTTTGTTAGTTTTTGGAAATTTCGCTACTAGTGTCTTGATTTTGTTTCTTTTCTTGAACTTGTTTCTAGAAGTACATGGATAGTTTTTTTTTTTTGGATGAATTAGATTTGCATATCGATTATTGGACTGGGATACTCTTGAGAATTTGAGTCATCCCCTGCTATTAATTTTAGTTTTTTTATGCTTTTCTATTTGTGCGTAAATTATTTAAATTTTCACAGTGCACTGCAGGTTGATGTTGCTTAATAGAATCCTTGGCTCGCTTGTATTGGTTAATGGTCTGTCCTAATGAAACTTAAAACATTCAATCTATTTCCTTTTGTTTCCCTTGGCGACGTCTAATTACAAAGTTAGTCGTGGTCTCCCTTTTCAATTTTTCTTTTCCCAAATGGATCAACTTGATTTTTATCGTGATGTGTAATTCTATTTCTTGGGCTTATGAATTTTTGTTAGTTTATCATGTCAATGACTTGTGTCATATTATTTTGAGATACTTTCTTTTTGTTTTGTTTCATGTGTTTGAGGCTACGCATGGAGTTGCTTGAATGGAAGATGATGGCTAGTTGGTGATGCTCTTTGGGATTGTGATATGGTGGACAGAGTAAAGAAAGTTGGTGATGTTCGTTGTGATCGCGTGTAAATTAATGATTTTTTTTTAACTTTTTGCTTTTATTCCGACTTCTTCATGTGCCTTTCTTCAAATTTTTAATGTGCAATTTTTGTTGTGATCATGATCATGTACAAATGAATGATTTTTTCCCTAAATTTTTGCTTTCGTTCCGACTCATTCGAGAGCCCTTCTTCAAATTTTTACCATGCAATTTTTCATTGATTATGAAGAGTGCACATTTAATTTTGTTGGTTCAAGTTCTTGTTGAGTGCCCGGTAGAACATTTGCTTGTGCTTAAGAAAAATGTAAGTGACTTGAAAAGGAATTTTATTATTTATTTTTGAATAAAATGAAGTTGCATGAAAGTGGTTTATGATCTTCCAATATCGTGGTGAAAAATCTTGATGAATGAAACTTAGTTTTGATTTCCATTCTCGTTATAATGCTAAACGTATTTAGTTTTATTTATTTTAATGATTTTGAAATTTTTCACATGGATGTTATTAAGGCAATGTTGTTTGTAAATGGGCTATGATTTTGAAATCAAGGTCTATATAAACTTTAATTTATGTGTAGAATTTGGAAGTTACTGGTAAAATAGATTTTTTTAAGTAAACTAAGAGGGAGAGATGGAAAAATCAGTTTTAGTAAGAGGGGTATAGTTGGAAAGTAAGTTAGAGGGCGATTCAAATTTAACTCAACTTTAACCCAACTTCACTATCTCCCATATTATCAATATAATTAAATAATATCAACCAATCATTTTTACACATCACATCAACTTTAATTCATTATTCATATCACATAATTTTAACTAACCATCACTTCCAATCATTTTTCTCCTACTTTACATCAAATCAACTTTAATTATTTTATTTAAATAATATTTTAACATATTCACTAACAACTAACCATACCACATTTTATCAAAATTAACTATAGTTAAAAACAAACCAAATAAAAACTAGTTGAATCCATAAACAATCACCCCCTTAGTAACATTTAAATGAAGGACAAAAACAAACAACTTTATGTGTTCATGAGTAGGTTATCACATTCTCACAAAAAAAAACCAAACATTACAATGAGATGGATTAATGTGGGTGGGATAGAATATCAATTGAGATAGTTTCAAGCTATTACTTTTTTTGTTTCACCTTCATGATACTGCGAAAAGACAATTATAATAATGTCCATATATATATAGCTGCATGCGAAAAGCCAATTATGGTTAGTAATATTGTCTACATATGTAGTTGTCTGCTGCCCAATCTCAGTAGCAACAAAGTCCCACACAAAAATAAAATTTCTAGCACTCATACAATGATCCTATCAATTGCAGTTTTTATATCTCTTTGTCTAGTCACTGTACAGAGCTCCGTTGAGTCGGAGTTGCGAATCCAAAACGAATTTAAGAAGTGGATTGTTAAACACGGACGCGTGTATAAAGACGAGGCAGAAAAGGCAATGTGATTTGCAACATTCAGAGATACATGGTTGCAAATCGAGGCTTTCAATGCCGGCGGACCGTGGCTACATACTCGGCGTCTAACGAATTTTCAGACGGGGAGCTTAAGCCTTCAGTTTGTTCAAGGAATATTGAAATAAGCTCCAATAAATACGTAAGACGGTTTGATGATCATGTGGTTATTACTGTTATTGACATGAAACAAAACAGTAATAGTCAAGTGATCATCAAACCGTCTTACATATTTAATCGAGTTTATTTCACTATTCCTAGAACAAACTGAAGGCGTAAGCTCCCCGTCTGAAAATCCGTTGACGCCGAGTATGTAGCCACGGTCCGGGCCGGCATTGAAAGCCTCGATTTGCAACCATGTATCTCTGAATGTTGCAAATCGCACCGCCTTTTCATCCTCGTCTTTATACACGCGCCCGTGTTTAACAATCCACTTCTTAAATTCGTTTTGAATTTGCGACTCCGAATCAACGGAGCTCTGTACAGTGACTAGGCAAAAAGATATAAAATCTTTTATTGCAATTGACAAGATCATTGTATGGGTGCTAGGAATTATATTTTTGTGTGTGACTATGTTGCTACTGAGATTGGGCAACATGCAGCTGTATATATAGACATTATTATCAACCATAATTGGCTTTTCGTAGGCAACTATATATATATAGACATTATTATAATTGACTTTTCGCAGGCAAATATATATATAGACATGGCTTTTCCTAGCATCATGAAGGTAAAACAAAAAAAGTAATAGCTTGAAACTATTTCAATTGATATTCCTTCTGTATCCACCCATATTAATCCATCTCATTGTAATGTTTGGTTTCTTTTGTGAGAATGTGATAACCCAAGAATTATTAGTTGTTCGTTACCTGGCCACAAAGGATTTATAACCACCAAGGCCCTAACACTAACACCCTTTGATTTGGCACTTTCTACTCATTTTTTAAGTTCGGAGATCTCAAGTCCCCAGTAGCTTCATCAAGAGAATAAAGATATGAAAAATGAAAGCCAAATGGAGGACATAGTTAAAACTAGAGATGTTAAATGGTCCTTGGCCCGACGGACCGACCCGTTTAGCCCGGAAAAAAATAGGGTTGGGGCCTTTTATTGACAACCCGCTTAAATCCGGGCTTTTTAGGCCCAAACCGTTTAGTCCGAAGCCCGTTAGGGCTAGCCCGAAAACCGCTAGGACTAGCCCATTTAACTTGGGTTTGGTGATGTATATGCTTTTAGAAGGTATGGAATATGTCTCATGATTCTTTGTATATTACAATTTTGCTATTCTACTTCACATGTAATTATGAGTTATAATGTATTATTATTATTATTTTGATAGATAATTATTAACAAATTTTATTCTATTTTACAGCAAAATATTTAAGCCAATCAGAACAAAAAACAAATGAGACAAAGACCTAACACATAGAATATAGTGATAGGATATAAATTCAGCAGTGTGCTATATTGTGAAAATTCCCGAAGTATACCAAATAACAAGTCAAATTGTAGTTATAAGTAATAGTTCGAACATTTTTTTTCTCTTGAGAAACAATATGGTATTTAAGAGTTTGTAATGTGTGTTCACATATAAAGTGTAGTTGTATATATATAGTGATAAATATTAAATAGCCGTTGCAAACCGTTAACTAGGTGTTGTAATTTATTATTATTATTATTATTATTATTATTATTATTATTATTGTTGTTGTTGTTATTGTTATAGCCCGTTTTGTTCGAAGCCCGCTAGGTTTAGGGTTAGGTCCTAATATTGGTAGCCTGTTTAAATTCGAGCTTTTTAGGCCCGGACCGTTTAGCCCGAAGCCCGCTAGGGCTAGCCCGTTTAACATCTCTAGTTAAAACATATTCACTCATAATTTTATTTATTTTTATCAACCTAGCCATGAAATACTTACAAGAGTGCCACCAGGTAGAGCAATTGAAGCAGAATAGAGTGTATACTGCGAAATGGGCCAAAGAATGCCATCATTCTTCGATCGTATCAGTAGCTGCATCATTAAATGAACCTGAAAACAATATATTAAGATTAATAATTATAATAAAGATTCTTATCCAGTAACATGAATAGTTATTGCAACAATTTTTTTTCCTATAAATGAGGTATCTTATTTAATTTATACCGGTGGGCTTGCACCATCTGTCTAGAAAATATCGTTCGGACCAGAAGGGAATCCATCACGGGCTTCAATGGCACCACAAATTGCATCACGTAGTCCTTTGATACCCTGATTGCATTTAATAACAGAGAAAACTTAGTATATAAGCAACCCAACTTCAATACATGCATGGTTTCCAGTAGAGGGTATTGCTACTTGGAGGCTATTGCTACCTGGAGGCCATTGCTACCTGGCTGTGACCGGTGGCTCTTCCAGGAATTTGCTTCAGGATTAGTAATGTTTGTTTGATGGAGTCGGCACTAAGAAATCTACCATGTACAATTATTAGTAACAAACATGGACCAATCAGGAGTCCAAGAACTCTAGAATAACTCATGACTCATGACTAAAAAATATTGACTATTCATAAAGTGGTAAAAGACCTTACGAAATTAGACATTCACGATCCAGGATACGTATATGGAAAAATGATTTCCGCAGTCAGATTTAAGGCCACACCGCCAGTTCAGGGGCATCAACAGTACCTAAACCCACCAATAGAAAATCATTATCACCATTAACAAAGCAAAGATTTAATCAGCAGTTTTTCGTTGTTTCTTATAATATTCTTACAGTCTTGTTTCTAGTGTCGGCAACCATGCGCCCACACAACTGCCTTTCATGTACGCCATGCTCGAATTCCATTCATCTCCGATGAAATTCTAAACAAATTATTGCAATCCAAACCAATAAATATAATTTTAATAGCAAAAAAACAAAAATCATATTTATACTACGTGGGGGTTTGTTCAAATAGGTGCATGAGGAATTCCATAAGCTTCATTATCTCATTTTCTATGAAAAAAAAAAAGCTTCCATTTTCACTTACAAATACAGGTGCATAAAACAAACTAACAACATGAATGGTTACAGTATTCTAAGATTAAATGCACACCAATGATCATTTTATGCAATGTTACAAAGGAATTTCATTTATTCAAGAGCAAGCTTGTTGTATGTCATCTAATTTCTTATTATTAGGCCAAATATTATTTCTATTAATTAGTTTATTGTGATAGAATGATATCTAACACCAGGATAAGCAGTGAAATACCCATAAGTTAGGATAATCTTACTGGTTTAAATCTATTGTACTTTCTTCAAACAACCTGACTCTTTCCATCTAAAAAATTTAGGCAACTTGAACAATCTGACAGACGTGTAAGTGGGTTTGTACATATTACAAACTAATAAAGTGCTCTATTTATATTTAATAATTATGACATGCACACACATGGAAGCAACCTCAATGTGGATCATTCCAACTGAGTTGTAAAATTTTAGCGCCTGACATAAACATATTAAACCCGAATCACAACACCAAAATAGGGAAGGAAAAATAAACGGTATGCACATATGAACTCTTAGTTCACCCAGAATTCATCCTCATAAAAGTGAGAAACCAATATAATAAAATTTTAAAGGACAAAAAGAGCAAAACAAAAATTGTTGAAATCAAAATTTTGAAAAACGAAACCAAGACATATGCAAACTAACCCCAACATATGCCACAACATATGCCAGCAGTTTAGGTAACTTAGCAAACTCCCCAGTACCTTCAGCATAGACACTTGCATCTATCAAAATCAACTCATCAACCTAAAAATAAAACAGAAAACACATAAAAACTGCAAAAATCAGTGACGGTAATAACATGTTTCTCCTTTTCGTTTTTTAATAAAACAATGCCACTTTAAATGGGAAGTTTTTTCAAACGTACATGAACAAAAGTACCAAAACAAAACAATCAATTCAAACCTCGAACCAGGGCTAAATCAAGGCAGATCAAGGTCAGAGCTTCTTTAGATAACCTGAATGCAAATTCGCCAAAAAACATTAAGGCTTCGGCTCCAGAACGGGCAAACATACCTGCTTAAGATGATAGGACAGAATGCTATTTAATTTTCCCCAAATCTAGACTGAAATAAAAACATAAAATGGCCACAATTAAACAATAACAACCTTCGAATTTAAGATGCTGACAATACATATAAACATAGTTCATGAATAAGCTGGAACTCACTGCACACAAACAGAATTTCAATAATCATTTTCAGGAGAAGAAAAAGGAAAGAACATTTCAAATACATCAGATATCTAAAGACCAAATTAAGGCAACAGAAATATTAATAGGCAAGATATGAATCTCTTGAAATCTGACGATATTAATTTATATTTATATTGTTTTTGCCAAAGAAACTTACGGGAGACGCATCGGGATAATTGTTCGGTAGGTGAATATATAAGAAAAAGAGGCTATCGTGGTACGGTGTGCCCTTGGGTCCAACAATCACAGTCCAGGAGATCTATTCTAGATTCATAGACCCTCACGAATATTTCATCTGTTAATAATGAGTAAACATTAAAATCGAATAGGAAGAACAAAAAATCATCGCCATGCCGCAAATACGTGCATCAACGCATTCAGATATCCAAAGCATAACTTTTGCATTTCCTCCATCCAATGCATCGTCATATACGCACAAATAGAGAAAAACTAATTATAGTAAGGAAGTTTGATAGAACAAAGAATTTAAGTATCACCTGGTAAGTGGTACTCCAGAATCTTCCACTCTTTCTGTTTCTCTTGGCCCAATTCGGCTGCTTCACCTGTAATTGGGGCTTCGACTTATATCATGAGATACATGGACAATACATCGAAATACATAAAATACATCGAAATACATAAAATCCATCTAAGGAAATATAGGTTTCTCGTTAAGGTTTGTATGAGAATTTCCACTGCAACCACATGCCAGATGGATTATTCAAGCAATATACCCAGAATTATACGAAACCAACCCAACAGAGTTGCAAAGTGTAATTTATAAATATATATATATATATATTAACTACTCATTAGAAAGTGAACGAAAAGGGGTAAGAACAAGACTTTCTAAGATGTACTCACTGTTTCTAGAACTATTAGCTTTGCATAGTGGTGGTTCGAGAAGTCTTCTCTCACTGTCGTCGGCTCGCATCCCCGCCAGGTCCCCCCCTATCTCTCTGTCCCCGGCGCCGTGTAAGCACAAGACTTTATCAATGTATTATTGGACACACGAAGCTTCTTCCTCTCGGCAGCTGCAATGCAACCGCCGCTGGTGAAAACTTTGGCAATGGTAGACCTTTCTACTGCATATAAGGCATAGATAAAAAAGGGGTAAACTCTTACTGAAATATATGTAAAACGGATAAGGCTGGACTTAGCTTTTGCTCAGATTTGAGAAGAAGAATCACTTACCAATAGCTAGTCGTATGTTCAGAACATAATATTACTAATTGACAAACAAAATAAGACAAAAAGATGTATCTTCAATAAGATTTTATTCAAAACAATAACATCAAAGGGACCGGCCCCTAAAGACACGATTTTGCTTTAAAGACATGATTTTGCTTTACTTTTAGAGTAAGGCTACATGGATAAGAGGAACTTTTTAGATATAATGAATAACAACAATATAATGAATAGCATCCAATATTTCAAAGATCCACCAGCTAATTTAAAAAATATTGCAGTACCCAAGATTTCAAAGCTCCTCCAACCACCTATCACTCTATACTATTATCATTAGATATAATCACCTGTTGATTAAAATAAATAAATAAATAAATAGATCCTTGTTTTCATCATTACACACAAATGAAACCACCCAAAAAAACTATCGAAATTACCACGAAAGCACAAAACACAGTCTGAATTTGGACGGCAGCCCATTCTCTACGGACAACCATGAAATCCTTGGGTGAAGCTTTAGCCAAGGTTGCCACGGCTGCCACCTCTCAGTATAATAAAGGTACGCAAAACTCTCCGACCACTCAGTCTCATCTACGCCACCTTTCATGGTTGTAATCACTCCAGAAGCACTCCTCCATAGCCTCCATTTTCTGCTCTTGCCACCCACCTTTTCCTAAATTAGAAGAGGAAATAAATATCAATAAAAATGACTAACTAAATCAAGAACATAGAAAAATTATGCAGATGTATTTCCCTTAACATAAGCACCACTTCACAAAATCATTAAAAGCAACACAACACTCACTACCAAGCGCGAAATCGAGGACCGTAGCTCTTAGTGTGAGTGTTCCAGATGTCCATTTTGTCCCCGCTCTGTTCGCACCATAGCAGTCTGACACGGTGAGCAACCCATCCAGAAGCAGGCCGACAACACACAACAGCTGATCGCGATGAACCTGACGGTGGTGGGTGCCGGCGACAAGGGCTGGCCGACGATAGTTGTGACAAAAAATCCCTATATTTCAACAATTCGTCTCCTGATTTTTTGGTTTTAGGCGGAAAAATTCAGCTCTTTCTCGCCTGAGACTTTATTCTCTGTTTTTTTCTCTCAGTTTGTTGGGCTAGGGTTTGGTGAGAGGAGAGCGGGGAGAGTTGGGAAGGAATATGCTCACCCGTTCAGTTGGGCCACCACCGCTGCGAGCGCGTGGGTTCGCCGGAGCGGCGGAGTAGACGTTCAATGAGATGAAAATGCGATCGTCGACATTGATGGGATATGGCAATCGAGAATTTCAGAGATTGGGACTGAAGAGAGAAGTGGAAATGGTGGAGACAATGAGGACATGCGAAAGCCAATTTTTTCGGATCTGCTTTTTGACTGACGAAACGTGTGCGCAGGAGGAAGGGAAATAATTGAGGGACAGCAGTGTAATAAGAGGGTAATTGCAGAAGCATTTATGTTAGGCAAAACAAAGCCACATGTTACCTGTGTTTGGCTGTTTGGTAGACCAATAAGCTAGCTTATAACTTATTTGATTAGCTTATAAGCTTTTTATTTTCAAATAAGCTCTGTTTGGTAGGACGAGTTTTTTTAAAAAGTTTGAGCTTATTTGATAAGTTTCTTTGGGTAGCTTTTCAAATAAGCTAGTTAAAATTTTTATTTCAGCTAGCTTATCAGCTAATTTTACTAAACATTTTTATCATATAAGCTAGCTTTTCAGCTATAAATCATAAGCTATAAGTTATAAGCTCAAAAATTACTGGTAAGCTATAAGCTAGTTTATCAGCTATCAGCTAGTTTTACCAAACATAGCCATTATCACTTAAAGCTGTGTCCAAATAAACTAGCTTATAACTTATTTGGTTACTGTATAAGCTTCCTATATTTAAATAAGTCTCGTTTGGTATGACGAGCTTTTTTAAAAAGCTCGAGCTTATCAGGTAGCTTTTCAAATAAGTTAGTTGAATTTTTTATTTCAACTAGCTTATCAGCTAATTTGATAAAACACTTTTATCATATAAGCTAATTTTTCAGCTATAAGTTATAAGCTAGAAAATTACAAATAAACTATAAGCTAGCTTATCAGCTATCAGCTAGTTTTACCAAACATAGCATAAATATTGATGTAAATGGGTCGGGTCGGGTACGGGTTTGGCAAACCCAAACCCGACCCGCATACAATTTGCCCTACCTAAACCCGACCCGTTACCCGGTTAGTGATCTTCGGGTTCGGATTGGGTTTTACCCGGCGGGTTAGTGGGTTTTCGTCGGATAAACGGGTAACCCGAGTTCTAAAATATGGGCTTTACAAGACGCATCTCGTTTCATATAAAAAGATAAAATAAAATAATTTTACAATTAATTATAATGTAACAAATAATTTATTAAGTTTGACAATAAAAACTATAAAAAATTATATTATTTTTGAAATAAATAATGAGATATAATTATTTATCTTTTATAGTCTATTTAATAATATAACATTTACAAATTAAGTATTTAGTTATTTTATTGTACAATTAACAAAAAATGATAATAAAATCATAAATTTAACCATTAATCAAAATTATAATAAATAATATAATTTTTAATATTAATAACACATGACTACTTTTATATTTATAATAAGTTATAAATATATATTTATATATATGTATATGGGTAAGGCTACAATCCCGTTACGGAACCATTCCGTTGGGAATTGTAACCGTTAGATCAATTATCATTGACGGTTACTTGATGATCTAACGGTTACAATCCCAACGGAATGGTTCCGTAACGGGATTGTAGCATTTTCCTATGTATATATATATAAAATTTCAATGGTTACGGGTGAAATGGTAGGGTAATCGGGTCGGGTAACGGGTTTTTCTTCTATACCGCACCCGATCCGACCCGACCCGGAGTTCGGGTGCATAATTCTACCCGAACCCGACCCGAAACCCGACCATCTCGGATTTACTCGACCCGAAAATGCGGGTAACCCGCGGGTAACCCTGTTAGAGTAGGGTACCCGGCGTTCCAATCTAATTGGACGTATTCTACTTGTAAATACAGTCTATTGGAATTATATTATGAATAAGGC